CATACTGTAGACTCGGAGGGAGAGTGGACCGGGTGGACTGAAGGCTTGGTGCAGGCGGACCAGTCACTCTGTAGACTCGATATGCTTGGTTGTTCTGTTTATGATATGATATGATATGTGTATGGTATTGTGGTTGGTATTTTGGGGGTAACTCACTAAGCTTTCGGGCTTACAGTTTCAGTATATTGTTTCAGATACTTCAGGAGATCGTGGCAAGGCAAAGGCGTGATCGTACCGCTCCTCATTTTATGTTGATCTTTCTGGGATACTCTGATAATAAATGGATTGAAAACCTTTTTGTAATAACTTAATGAATCTGGGTTGTTTTTGAAAAGTTTAAATTTGTTGGAAATTTTCAGTATGTTACAATAATAATTTTTTATAGAATTTTGAAGTTGAATTTATAAAATTTAGGTTTTTAAGGCTTTTAGGGTTTTAGGATTTAATAAATCTTTGGATATCAAAATAATTTGAATTTTTGAGACTTCATATTATTTTTAGAGTCTTATAACTCTTTTCCAGTTATAAAAAATACTTGAAATTTGTTTTTGTCGGTTTATTGGCATTTCTATGTAGTGATTCTGAGATTCAAAGGAAACGAAAGAATCAAGTATACTAGTCCTAGTTTTCAACTTTGACTTAAGTTCCTACGATACTTTGACCTAATTTCTGCTACTAGGTCAAATGAATGATGTGTCTACATGATTCATGCAAAGATGTTCATGTCAAGGAATGACCCAAATTTGGATAGTTGTTACAGTTAGAGTAGCTATAGAATTCACGTATCAATGTGAAATCTACGTATACTATCCATCGTTTCTAATTGTTTCCAAGTTTCTACTAGGTCAAAACTTAGCTTCTAGCTACCAAGTATAACATGTGTCGTGCATATACGTGCAACTAAGTTTAGTCAAATCTAGAACTGAATCGATTTTTTGATGGTTTTCATGCTAACCTTCAGATCTAAATGAACATGATGTTTAGATAGATAAAGTTTCCAACTTTAGACATAATAATGTCTCAAACTTCTAAGATCTAAACTTTAATACACCAAAATGACCTAAAGGACCAAGATAACTTTCATGACTAAAAGGGAAGGCAAAAGATCATTACTTTCCTAGTCCATGAGGTCCAAGAAGCATTCCAAACTGATCCAAAGATGTTGGAGTTCACACAACTCCAAGATCATCCATAAGTTGGACCAAAAGTTCCAAAAACCACAAATGAAGAGATCTAAAAAACTAAAGAGCAAGATATGAACTTTATACTCACAATAGTCTAGAAATGAAGTGGCTTTGATGGATTAAACTTGAAACAACATTCCTTACAACCAAAAGAACCTTCTTGATCTTCAAGCTTCATCAAAATATCACCAAAAGCATCCAAAGGATGAGAGAGGAGAGGGGATGAGCTTAAATATTGAAGAGAAAGGCTAGGTTTGTGCCCAAGGAGTTATAAATGTGATGAAGGCAAAGAAGTGTAACACCTCGTGATAGCTCTCACGTCATGACAACATGCGTGCAGTGGCGGGAGCAGACTGTTTTAGTAGGGTTGCCCTTCGTACTTCAAGTCGGTGCACCTAATAGAAAAGGAAATTACACTACGTGTCGGAAATTGAGTAGTGGCCCGGGACCCCCAATGCTCCACTAAGGTCCGCCACTGCATGCTTGTCACCTCGTGACGACGGATTTTCACTCGATTCCTCTTTAACTTCAAACAATCATAACTTCTTCGTTTCAACTCCGTTTTCGGTGATCTTTATATGCACAGAAAGGTATTGACGAGCCCCACAACTTTATATAATTACTTTTGACTTAATACATGTCAAGCTAAAACCATAATTCGTGCAAGAAACCCAAATATTACTTTTCCCATTATACCTTTTGCTACAAAGCACAAATTGAGAGCTTGAATCACTCAATCCAACATTACCAACATCCTAAAGGGCCTAGACTTTGTTCCCTTGAGCCCAAAAACCTTTAATCGATCCATTACAACCTGTTATCTAGGTATTAGAAACATCCTAAAACTAGGTGTTACACATATCTTTCCCTTTTGTACAAAACCAACTGTGGTGGTTTTGGTGCATACAAATTCCCATCAGGTAAGTTGATATAAAACCCAATTACACCACCTTCAACATATCCTTCATCACCATACTTCTCCCTCAAATCTTTATGCACTCTGCTCCCGTCAATATCCCTGTACCCATAATTGTTCCTATCATACCCACACGTGCCTGCAAATCCCCCTTTACAATTGACCACCTAAGTCTCGTATGCCCTATTTCCCCTAATTTCACCACCTTAATTTTAAAATACCAAGATCCCTCTATCACGCCTCTAGTAGTTCTTACAATTCTATAGCCTTTTACAACCACCTGCATTCAACCTATCTTCACTCAATTCTACTTTCTTCGCCTTGTACACCTTTGAAAGACAATAGTCATGTCTGCATGGTCGTCGTTTTTGTTAGGGTAGTGATGGATGGGATTAATCAAAACAGAGTCCTTTATTTAAGCAGTGGTGCTTGTTGTACTTAGGGGTGGCAAATCGAGCCATCATTTTTTTGTTTGACACGACACGACACGACAAGGATTTATGTAACACGAACACGACAGGACACGATGTCGTTTTTTTTACTAACACGAAAACGAACCGATTAAAAAACGAAAAACATGACACGACACGACAAGGATAAGATAATACAAAAATTAGTTTGCTCAATTAATATTTAATCATACATAACACGAAAAACACAACAAACACGAAAAACACGACAAATAAATGCTAAATCGTGTCAATTTCGTGTTGAATTTTAAACACGAACATAACACGACACGACATTGTATTTTTTACACTTAACACGAATACGACACGAACACGAATTCAAATTTCAGTTTCATCCCAATTTCGTTTCGTGTAGTGTATTTTTGTCGTGTCGTGTCAACAATTGCCACCCTTAGTTGTACTCTTGGTACTCGGTCTCAGGGGTTGCGAAGGTGGTGGATGTGGTGGTAACAATTATGGTTGTTGGAACATCTAGTGCTTCGTCAATGGTGGCGGTGGTAATGTTCCTGCATCGTTAATAATGGTGGTGGGAATGGTTAGTGCTTCATCGACAGTCATAGTGACGGTGTTGGTAGGGAGAATATATGGTTTTGGATTTGCCATTTCTGAATTAACGTCGTTGTTTTTATTTGTATTGGAGTTGTAGAAGTTATCTTCGTCTTGGTCTCCTTTGTAGGTTGCTTGAAGGCCGTCCATGGTTGATTGATAAGTAAAAGGGTAAAGGGTTAGGCTTGGGATATATATATATATATATATATATATATATATATATATATATATATATATATATAATATTTTCATTTGCAAAAATGGTCCTTCAAATGAGAAAAGATGAAAATACCCTTACATGGAAGACACGTGAAGGAGTTAACAACAACAAAGTAACGGGAGTTAAACTGGGGACTATTTCCGCATAGAAACATGGTTAAAATGATCACCAATTCAAAAAAATCAGGATTGAGACTAAAACTTAGAAAAAGACAAAACTGTAAAATTGGTCATCGTGGTTTGCAAAAAACTTTGGATGGGGTCCAAAAAGTTTTTGACTTGCATGGAAGGTCCAAAATCAAGAATTTTCTTTGGTTTTGGTCCTTGAAAATTTGAAAAGACAATTTTACCCTTATTATTTATTTTTTACATTTTCTTTATTTTTTAATTGTTTTATAATTAAAAAAAAGAAAAAGAAAAAGAAAAATAATAGGACGGGTCTCTCTCTCTCTCTCTCTCTCTCTCTCTCTCTCTCTCTCTCTCTCTCTAGACAGGATCATCTCAACCAAACTCACAAACCAAACCCCAATCTCCTTACAAGTCAAAATCAAGCTTCCCACCAGAATCATCTTCGGAGACCATGAAACCATCACAGCATTCAACCCCTGCGATCTCATTCAACTCCCCAAGAATAGACTTGGCGATGGCTTCTTAGGCACACTTTACAAAGTTATCGTCTTACTCTAGCTCCATTATCACAATCAGAAAGATTTGTAAAAACATCACCCATGGCAACAAATTCTACCACTGGGTTAATTTTTTCGGCGACCTTCGTGGCAACCGGGGGTTTTTGCCGCTCCGATTTGGTTTTTGGTACGGCGGCGAAGCTTTTGTTATTCATGAATACTCATGTTTAGGCAGCTTGGAGGAGCTCCAACATGGTAAGCAATCCCATAATCGAAAACTAGGGTTTCTAATTTTTACCTTTAACCGATTTCGATTTCGCAGGAAGCGAAGGCGTTCAATTTATGCCGTTAAATTCAGAAATCAGATAAGAAATAACGCTCGGAGCAACGAAAGCAGTAGCATCGATTCACAGTTGAGGTCTTCTCAGCGGGGTGATAAAATCATCTAACTTTCTGATACAAAGCGACTTCTCACATCGTCTTTCCAACTTTGAAACGTTTGTGGTCGGAAAGAATGTTTACAGTTTGGGGATTTTGATATCGGTGATTATCACCGGAAAGAAACCTTCGGTGACTAATTTAGGGTAGTATGTAATAGAGAAAAGAAAGAGAGAAGGGCTGAAAGGTTTTCCGTTAGATGAGAAAGGATCAATGGTGGAGAGAGAGAGAGAGAGAGAGAGAGAGAGAGAGAGAGAGAGAGAGAGAGAGAGAGAGAGAGAAGTTGGGTGAGATTTTAGTTATTATTTTTTATTTTTAATTATTTAAATACCAAAATAAATAAAGAAAATAGAAAAAAGAAATGAAAAGGGCAAATTTGTCTTTTTAAGTGAATCAGGAACCAAAAATCTAGAAAAACCTTGATTTTGGACCTTCCATGCAAGTCAAAATTTTTTAGACCCTATTCAAAGTTTTTGCAAACCACAAGGACCAATTTTGCAGTTTTGTCCTTGGAAAAAATATTGTACAGGACCACTTTTCCAGTTTTGTAAAAAAAAAAAAAAAAAAAAAAAGGCGTAATTTTTTCAAACGTCCGCTCTCTCTTTTCTCACTCTCCGATTTCTGATTTCCCCAAATCTGAAAATTAGAATCCTAACTCGGTGCGTCGCCATCTCCGATTTTTTATTGGGTCTTTTTCCTCTACTTGCTTCGCCATTCTTCATGGATGCAGTATCGTCTCCATGCCCTTCTACCCCTCAATGGAACTACGACAGACCTTTCCTCACCGGCCAATTTCACCAGGTTTCTCTTCTTTCTGTATATATATTTACATATGTGTATGAATGCTCGGAGACATATTTATCTCGATTATGTAATACCAAACCGCCTACCGTTTTGTGAATGTAGCTTATCTTGTTCAAAATTTGGTTTTGTTGGAAACTGGTGTATAAATTTATGCTTGTTCGATGCAGGACTCAAAGGGGCATTCAGTGGATATAGGGTACTTCACCTTTTCCCTGGACTGATATTGAGTTTATTCATGTTTCTATGCGTGTAATTGCTGTTATTAAAGCGAATTGTTTCTCCTTTTACACTCTCTTTGTACAGTTTGGAATCTGAGAAGCCGATAGGTTGCTACAATGCTTCTGTTCAGGTACAGCTACAGATGTTTTTATGCTTTTTTGTGCAATTCTTGGCCTTTTCATTCATAATGTCAGACTAGTGTCAATTTTGAAACCTAGAAAGAAGTTAATCTAGAATATCATTTTAATGTAAAGATAAATGAAGATTTTGTGATAATGTTTCAACACATGCAGGAACTAATTGTAATCGATGATCTACTATCTGCTTTAGTTGGGATTGAGGGACGATATATTTCTATCAATAGAGTTGGAGGGAATGATGACTCTTTTATCTTCAATGTTGATGGATCTATGGATTTGGCACTCCAGGTTAAGATTCTTCACATATACAATTATACATACACAGATGCACATATGTATGTATCTATAACTTCTTGGAACTCTTTTCACTTTTGGGAAATAAATATTGCAAGAAAATGCAGGAATCATCGAAAAGAATATTCCCTTTATGCAAGAGCTATTTGATTATCAATCAGTTTGTGGAATCAAGATCACAGTTCAAGTCTGGATTAGTTAATCATGCCTTTGCTGCTGCACTAAGGGCCCTCCTTTTGGTAAGTTATTTACGTTCAATGTTGCCTATTAGATGATGGTTTTTACTGCATATAGCTATAAAGAATGTTACTCAATAGGAATCATTGACTATGCAAGATAAATATAACAAATTAACACATTTTAGTCATTTAGTGTCAAGGTTCCATGAATTTGCTATTTTGCTATGTAATAAATAATTATATTTTTCTCAGGATTATCAAGCCATGGTGGCACAGCTTGAACATCAATTTCGACTAGGAAGACTCTCAATACAAGGATTATGGTTCTATTGTCAGGTAATTTCATTTGTTATAAACATCATTTTGTTTGTTTATATATTTACAAACTATGATGAGTATCTTTTTTTTTTGTGGTTTCATGATTAATATTTGTTGCCTTTTAATATATTTTTGCAGCCAATGATGGGATCAATGCAAGCATTATCAACAGTAATAAGGAAGGCATCAGCAAGTAATTTTGTGGGTTCTGCAGTTCTTAACCTTTTACAGAGTCAGGTATGTATGTCAATAAACTAAACTAAAATATATTATATGCTATTTATTTATTTATTAATATATTTTAAATAAAAACAGGCCAAGATAATGGCTGGTAACTATTTGGTGAGATCATTGCTTGAGAAGATGATAGAGTCTGCAAATTCTGCTTATCTTGGCATACTTGAAAGGTATATATAAAGTCACAACACCCAATAATATATACTCCAAAAAGTACTATTTTACCCCTTTACCAATATAGAAAGTATGTTGCTATTTTCTGCAATTTTCCCATAACATACTCAATATTGTCCATATATATTTGCATATATGCAGGTGGGTGTATGAAGGAGTTATTGATGATCCTCATGATGAGTTCTTCATTGCTGAGAACAAATCTCTCCAAAAAGTACTATTTTTATTACCCCTCCTACAAATTTTTCCAAAAAGTACAAACATGCTAAAAAGTACGATTTTACCCCTGCTGTTATAGGAGAGTCTGACCGAAGATTATGATGCTATGTATTGGAGACAAAGATACAGTCTGAAAGATGATATCCCTTCTTTCCTTGCAAATTCAGCTGAAACCATTTTAACAACAGGGAAATCTTTGAATGTCATGAGAGAATGTGGCCACACTGTTCAGGTCTTGTTTCTTTTTTCTGTATCTTTCAGTTAATTGCATTTTCGTCCCTTTGGTTTGTTGTTTCTTACAAATATTGTCCAACAGTTTGATTTTTAACCTTTTGGTCCTTAAAACGTTGTTTTGTCAATGCTTTAGGGATCCAGAATTCAAAAAATCAAACTAATGGACCATATTTTTGAAATTTAACAAACCACAGGGATGAAAAATGTAATTTACTCATATTAATGCTATTATTAGAGGGTTTTATACATGTGTATAATATAGGTGCCTGCATTGGAGAATTCAAAATTGATGAACTTTGGGTCGAATGATCACTATCTTGAATGCATTAAATCTGCTTATGATTTTGCTAGTGGCGAATTACTAAATCTCATGAAGGACAAGGTGGGGGGTTATTTTCATTTCTTTAAACTTTTTTTTTTTTTGGTTTTTTTCCTGATGGGTGCATGTTTTAGTTCTTGTAAGAATATTTAGTGACCTGTTATTATGCTGAATGTTGACAGTATGACCTGATTGGAAAGCTGCGTTCTATTAAGCATTATCTTCTTCTGGATCAGGTTAAATTTTGATTGTTGTGTTTTTGTAGTTTAAAGTATTTGAATTGAAATTAAATTTGATAATTGATTTGATTGAGTTACAAATACAGGGTGATTTCTTGGTTCATTTTATGGATATTGCACGTGATGAACTTGATAAAACACCAAATGAGATCTCTGTTGAGAAGCTTCAGGTCTTTCTCCATTTACCTCATATTATCTGACTAAAAAAACTCAGAGTATATTTTGGGCAATTATTGTGATTACACCACTGATACTTTATTCCTTCCAATCAAGCTTTAAAAAGTTAAAGATATTTTTTTTTCCAAAGTAACCATTCTAATTCTCCAAATCAACCATTTTTGACCAATTATATCAGGTCAAAATGGTTAAATTGGAAATATGTCTGAAACTTTAATGTTTTTTTTTGATTGGAAAAAAATAAAGTAGAAATGGTTAGTTAAACTGCAAAATTGCACAAAATATAATGCTGTTTCTGTAATTTGCCCTTATTTGTATAATCCATATGTATAGTTAGGGATAAAAGTTATCCATATATAAGAATTATCGTTTCTCTATTTACCCATTAATTAGTTTCATCTGAGAAAATAAATGACAATTGTAAACAGATGACTTATGGAAAAATACTCAATTTCCTGACTTTCTTTCTGCATAAAGAGTTTGATGTTATAAATATAATACACAAATAAATGAAAATGAAAGCACACTGCTATTTTTTATTTTTTATTTTGTAAAATTTATGTTTTAATTTATTTGAGTTTAATTTTCAGTCTCTGTTGGACCTTGCACTGCGTTCGACAGCAGCTGCAGCAGATCCTTTGCATGAAGATGTCACATGTTCTGTGGTCAGTTTCATTTATTCCTATCACAACTTAACATTCTACTTTTTCAGAAATAATTAATTCATTAATATTTTATTTATTATTATGTCTTTTTCAGGACACAGGTTCTTTGTTAAAGAGACTGAGCATTCTGAAAGATCTTCAAACAGGTGGTGGTGGTGGTGAGTCAGTTTCAGAGGCTGATGTTGTAGAAGAAGAGCCCTTGATCACTGGTATGGAAACCTTCTCTGTTAATTACAAGGTAAATATCATCATCAACATTCACACCTTTTTTAACATTTTCTTTCTTTCTTTCATTTAATACTACAAATAGCAACCTACTCTTCATTGATTTGTTTATTATAAATTTATAACATCATAATATCATCTATTCCTATTACAACATAACATTCTACTTTGAAAAAAATCCATTTATTTATTTATAGCAATGTCATTCAAATACAAATCATTTTCAATATTACAATGTTATTATTGGAATTAGGGTTAATCTCATAAAACACCTTATATATATATATATATATTTTTCCAGATTAAACCTCAACTTTATTTTTTTTCATGAAAAAGACCTCTGGCCCTTTTAGTCGTTCTTCTCTAAAAAAGTTGTATAATGTGAGGTTTTTTTCAGGAAAAACTAAAAAAGTTGAGGACTTATTTGGAAACATTTAGAAGGTTGAGTTTTTTTTTTTTTTTTTTTGGAAAAAAGACAAAGTTGAGGGTTCTTTCGCAAAAAATGAAAAAAATATATCATGAGTTTAATTTGGAAAAAACACAAAATATAAGGTCTTTTATGAGATTAACCCATAAATGAAACTACTTTACTAATTACCTAATTTTCTATTTTTCTAATTATCAATTAAATGAAAGTAAGTTGTTATTTTTGTTACAGGTTCAATGGCCATTATCCCTTGTGATATCAAGAAAAGCTCTGACAAAATATCAATTAATTTTTCGATTTCTGTTTCATTGCAAACATGTGCACAGACAACTTTGTGCAGCTTGGCAACTACATCAAGTATGAGATTAAATATCCCTGCTATAAATATTTATTAAAAAATAAAAATATCTCCTTTTATATTTTTTGTAATTATAGTTTTCTTGTTGTTGTTGTAGGGTGCACGTGCACGTGATATGCATGGAACTGCAATCTCTACATCATCAATACTATGCAGGAATATGCTTAAATTTATCAATAGCCTTCTACATTATCTAACATTTGAGGTAAAAGAAAAAACCATGTTCTTAAGTTCATAAAAAACAATCTACTTACATTTCCTTACCAATAATTACAATATATAATTATTATCAGTAAAAATGTATGTATGTAAAAAATAAAGTATATTGTGTAAGTGTCATGCTATAAGTATGTTGTTATTATGGGTAAAGAAATATAAATATATTGCTATTTCCTATTTATTTATTAATCCGATGTTAATGTGGCTATTTATCTCTCTTTAATTCTTTTGTCAACTAACAAAGGTGGAAGTGATATTATATTATTATGATTGAATAATATATTCTTTTTATCTTGTTTTAGGTTCTTGAACCAAATTGGCATGTTATGCATAATAAACTTGAGAATGCAAAGAGCATAGATGAGGTATATGTTGATTTCTTTATTGTAGCATCCTACTTTTTTTTTTTTTTTTTTTTTTTTTTTTTTTTGTGTTACAACATTGTGCTTTGAAAAATCTACCCAATTATGGCAATGTCATACAAATACAAAGCACTATTTACTTCTTTAGTTGGGTTGATTTTTCAAAGTAAAATGTTCTAATAAGAAGAAGAAAATTGTACTACAATGCTGTAAAAGAAAAATATAAAAGTAGATTGCTATATTTCACAAATAAATGAAAGTAAGTTGTTAATTTTTTTCCCTGTGTGTGGTTGTAATCTTTGTATGAAAATAGGTAATTCAATATCATGACTTTTTCATGGAAAAGTGTCTCAAGGAATGTTCACTTCTTTCTCCAATCCTCCTCAAGGTTTTCATCATTCCCTATTCATAATGCTCTGAAATTTGCACATCTAATTTTACGAAATACAATATGGAAAAATAGAGGAATAGAATAGCATGTGAATTTAATATGATTTTCATTAAGCATTATTTCTGTATAAAGTGCTGTCTGGATAACTATTGTTTAAAAAATATTTGAGAAAATGATGACACACTTAGGGAAATGGAAGTAAAAATTAAATGAAGTCAAATTGGTAAAAAGTTAGGTTAAAAAGAAACATTGATATGTAAGTATGTAAGCTACAACACATTAAGGGGCTGTTTCTTTTTGACTTAATGAGGTTAACGAGGACAGTACTCTCTCATGTTAAAAACTGATGAATATTCTGATTTTTTTGGAATGTAAGGGTAAAATGGTCATTTGATCAGACATACATCATTATCTGATCAGTCACTTTACCCATACATGACTTAGTGGACCCCTAGGTCATGTCTCCATTAAGTGAAAAAGAAATAGAGTTGTATAATATAGAAGGTTTGTGAATTTGTTCTAATAATAATAATAATTAAGTTTTTGGGGTGAATGCAGAAATTTGAGAAACTGAAACTCGTATGCCTTCAGTATGCTTCTGCAACTCAGTGGCTAATGAGCTCCATTGAAGCTCCGGATTCAAACAGTTCCTTTGATGATTTGGATTCATCTTCCTTGGAAAATCTAAAGGTTTTGAAGCTAAGAAAGTCTTCCAAAAAACCAAATTCACCCACAGATGAGTCTACAGTCATCGAATGTGTCCTGTAAGATCTTAAAACTATACCCCCATATTTCTCTTTTTCTTTCTATGTATGTATGTATGTGTATGTATGTATGTGTGATGGAGTGGAGTGATTTTTGACAGGAAATTTGAGAGGGAGTTCAGTAGTGAGCTGGAGAGTTTAAGACCAATATTGAGCAGCAGGGCACAAGCAGAACCATATCTGACTCATCTTGCACAGTTGATTCTTGGTGTTGGTATGGATCACCACATCTAGATTTTTTTTAGTAGTTTTTTCCTTCAATTTTACAGTTTGCTTGTTGGTTGTTGTTTGTAGTGGTTTTTTTGTATATATCTGTTTTGGAATGAGAGTGTTTTTGCTTGCATGATTAACCACTTGTGTAGATTTCATAGTAGTAGTAAAACATGGATCATCTGGATTTAATTTAGCCAAACACAATTTGTTTCTTGTTATTAAAATGTATGGAGTTTTTATTGATTGAAAGTATGTCATGCCTCTTGAAAACCAAATTGTAAAAACCGATCCAACCGATTGATAATTTGGTTGGTTTAGATTGGATTTGAATTTAATTTGTATTATTTGGATTCACGACTTGAAAACCAAAATCAGTTGGATTCACTTGGTTCCATATGAACGTGTAGAATATGACTCTGGATTGATATGGGAACAACTTTTAATAACTTGTCATCCTCAGCCACCTCCAACTTTTAGCACTTGATAGGATCAGCCCCTGTACTTTATTCTGTAGCCCTCAAGTTCTTTACATTAACTGCCAGTCCTTGAACTTTTTCTTTATAACCAATATGACTGCTAAAATTAAAAGCTGCATTAATTAACTTGCAGAAACCTTTCCAAGTTAATAACACAAATAAAATGGACATTTAATCATTGTTAAGATTGCATGACAGGGCAAGTACAGCAAATTATATAGTACCAATCATTGTTAAGATTGCATTAGATAAATGATGAATTATGAAAGAATATTAAGCACAGCTAAAAGTTGCAAAATTGGTTGATCAATTGGGATTAAAAGTCAACTGTAGCTGTAAGTTATAAAGTGAGAAGAATTTTGGGATATTAAGTATAAAGTGTAAGTATCAAATTTATAAAATGTTTGGACTATTACATATCTTTCGTACTCATGTCTTATACTCGAACAAGACAAATGTTTGGGTACATTTTGGATCGCAAGGGAGGAGAAAGTTTATTATTAAGCAAGAGCCAAGAGGAGGAATGATCTGACTGATACAACATATCTAATCTATATATACACCAACCAACACACTCAAATAACTAATTAATTAACACTTCATTATTTAGTTTGACAACAGTTGCTTCCAGTGGTGCTCCCCGTCTAACTGTTTCTTCATTTAGCCCCTTGCAATTATGGAACTCCAATTTTTGGATAGATGACATGCTGGCTAACCACATGGGCAGTTCTTGTATTCCGAATCCAACTATGCGTAGCCGAGTCAGTGAGGTGAGGTGTTGTATTTCTTCAGGTATCGACTCCCACTGATCCACACCGTACAACGTTAACTCATGAAGGTGGTTCCTTAACTTCTCAATGCCTTGGAGACTCGGGAAAGAATCCAGCTCCTTTGAGAACGGACCAAGTTCCAACTCATTTAAGAAGCCAAAACTGTCAAACAATTCATGAGGCAGGGAAGTCAGTTTGCCACAGTCGGTAATTTCCAAAGTCTTCAAAGAATGACACTCGTTGGGTAAATTGGCTATTTCTAAAAGACTAGGGCACCTCCAGATAGATAAAGATTCAAGAGAAGTAAGTCCTTGTATGCTCTTAATGGACACCAGACCATTGCAGTCACTAATCTCTAAGGAAACAAGAGGACATTCATCTATGAGAATAATCTTTGGGCACCTCCAAATGGACAAGCTCTGGAGGACAGGCGATATCATTTTTGAGCAGTTGGTTGCTCCATCTATCCACTTTTCCAGGCTGTACATATATTCTAGTTTGAGCGATCTCAACGATGGAGACAAAGGCCTTGTTGATCCAGTAACATCGGAACTCCTTAAGAATGTTAAGCTGTCCATTTTCTCCAACACAAGATCCCGAAGATGTGGTAGGTACTCGAGCGTTGGAAGAGAGAGGCAGCTCTTACATCCATCTAATCTGATCTCCACCAGCTTGTCAAGGGGCGCCCATTTCCTTTGGATATCGATTGCCATGTTCGTTTCTGATGCCGGGTAATTATCACCAGAAAAATTGCCTATTCCTAAAAGACTAGGGCAATTATCGATATGTAAAGATTCAAGAGATGTAAGTCCTTGTATGCTCTTAATGTACTCCAGACCATAGCAGTTCTGGATCTTCAAGGACACAAGAGGATGGGGATGGCATTCATCTAAGAGAATTATCTTTGGGCAATACTTGATCTCCAATGTCTCGAGGACAGGCGATATCATTTTTGAGCTGTTGGGTGCTCCAACTATCCACTTTTCCAAAAAAGATAGTTGGAGCGATCTCAATGATGGAGACAAAGGCTTGCTTGATCCAGTAACATTCGAACTCCTTAAGCATGTCAAGTTCTGCATATTCCATAACACAAGATTCCGAAGATGTGGTAGGTGCTCAAGTGTCGGAAGAGACAGGCAGCTCCAACAGTCATATAATGTGATCTCCACCAGCTTGTCAAGGGGTGTCCATTTCCCTTCAATATGGATTGCCATCTTCGTTACCCATTCTGCAAAATTATCACCTTAAAAATTCCTAAATGTCAACTTTTTCACATCTCGTGGGGGTTGCAAGCCTTCCAATACATCCTTGTCGTTTCTGTCAAATGCATAACTTCTACTCCAAATCCAATTGAATTCAATCTCGTATAAATTTTTCTTTCTAGATAAATCTGCCTTGACAGCATCCTCTTTGCTACGGACATTCTCTAGATGTGAAATACAGAGGCTTCCAGTAAGGTTATTTAAATGGCGTAGCTCTTCAATACCATGTCCCTTCCTTCTAAGCACTATGAAGGAAGGCAAATTTCGGATAAGAATCCATTGTCCCAGGATATTAGCAGGAATGTCTTGGACACGCTTGAAGTATCGCAGGCTTATCAAATTTCTTATTGTTTCTGGAAACTTCATAATGTCATTAGGCAACTTCAGAGTTTGCAAGTGGTATAACTTACCAATAGATTCAGGAAGAACACGGATCATTGTATATTTCAAATCCAGATACCTGAGATGCACCAACCCTCCAATTGAATCGTCTAACTTCTCAATACTATATCCATTGAGTTTTAGGATACGTATGCACTTTAATCGTTGAAACGAAAACTTCTTCTCAACTTCACCTTTGATGAACAATGTATGCAAAGTTCTAGCCACTGTATTCCTTTCAATGAACATAGAAACCTTGGCTTTCAATTCATCACCCTCGTTCTGTTTTTGGTAAAAAGAAAGTGATAATGAAAGATGTTTAACCTGAGGGATACATGCAATGTCATCATTTGTCGCATCCACCAGACATAAGTTTTCATGTTTTGAAAGTGATAATGAAAGATCATGAACCAGATCATGCACGCTACAATGAGTGATGTGACCATACTTATCCCTTCCAACATCTTGGAACAAGGAATTGCTAACCAAAATTTGAAAAATATCATTCCCCACATCCTCCATCTCCTTGTTTCTTTCCTCATCCCCTTGAACCAACCCTAAAGCCATCCAAAGTTGAACCAGTTCTTCCCTTTCCATGAGTGTATCTTTCTTAAAGATGGAACAATATGTGAAGCATTGCTTGGCCATAGAATTGGGGAGATTTTCAAAGCTCAGTTCCAAACTCTTTTGAACTCTCTCCCTTTCATCTTCTAGATCCCAAACTTTGCTATTTTTGATGGCCAACCACTTTTCTGGGTCATTGTAATTTTGCAACATACCACCTATTACCCTTACTAACAAAGGCAAACCATGACACTTTTTCACAATATCACGTCCTATCTTCTCCAATTCGGATAGTGGTGATTGTCCTGCTAAAAACGCCCTCTCTTTAAAGATGTTCCAACAATCATCATCAGAAAGACCTTTTAAAGAACATGAATCCATAGACATAGCCTTCGTTCCGATGTCAAGTTTCTTGGTAGTGACAAGAATGCTACTTCCAATTTGTGACTTCACATTTATCATAACTCTCCTAAAATCTTCCCAATATAATCTCTCTTCGTCCCAAACATCATCCAGGACTAGCAAGTATCTTTTTGCTCCCAACTTCTTTTCAAGATCTCGAACTAAATTGGCCATTGTTTCCGACTTAGGTTTCTCTCCTACAACAGATTCATAGATCTTTGCCAGAAGTGTGTTGATGTCAACCTTAACCGACACACACAACCACGCTTTCACATCAAAATATTGCTGGATTTTTGGATTATTATATACGGACTTAGCCAGAGTGGTCTTCCCCATCCCGTCCATTCCCACAATAGGAACAATCGTAAGTTTTTCTTCTTTTCTTGACTCGGTTAAAAGGTGTATGATGCGCTCTTCATCATCCTCCCTCCCAACAACTCTGAGTTCGCCTAAATTTGGATCCGTCTCCGGGTAGGGGCGATATTGAACAACAGGGCCCGGCTGTTCATTTTGTAGTCCCAACTCGTTTGCTTCTTTATTGATTTGAGACAACTTTTCGTTAATGTTTTTGATTTTATGACCCATTTCACTACGAAAGAAAAGCTTTTTCAAGCTTGGGAAAGAGGGTACCTTTATTGCCACCCGATCTCGGTTCTTTACCTCACGCCTCAACATTTCATAGTGAACCTCATCCACCACATCATCAGCTTCACCAACCACATCTTTTAGTTGTTTCAGCCACTCGATAACACCATGTTTTTGACCTTTCTGATTCTCGGCATCCTGTAACTTGGCACGAATCAGTTTCAAGGTCCCTTCAAGTGTGTACAACTTCTCTTTGTAACCCCAAGCAAGGGCGATTTCGTTGGCAGCTATGGATGCTACCTTTTTCAGGATCGCCTCGGCAGCAATAGTAACTAAAGCGTCGGCCATTTTCAACGGGAGAGAGAGAGAGAGAGAGGGAGTCAATGAGAAAGGGTGAAATATAACGTCAGGGAGTTGTTAAACACGCCTATTAATCCTATAGTCAATATTCCTGACACAACGATTACCTACAGTTCAATCCAAAAAATAAACTTAATCCTTTACTTATATATTATTTTCTATTTTTCTCCCTTTAGTATTTAAAATATAAATCACGATCACTTAACTACAAGAACAACTAAAACCATTAAACAATCAAACATAATTAATATTACAAACTACATGTATGCTTTTTTACTTATATTACTTTCTACTTTTTTGCCCTTTGTTAAAAATTATACATTCTGGTTTTTCCTTTTTAAGATCCATGTTTAGAATTTTAATTTATTTATTTTACGTTTTTCACAATATAATTTTATATCATATATTATTTCGTTTTAATTATAAAGTAAAAATTGAATATATTCATATATAAATAAATTCTACATTTATGATCCTCTATTTATCATATTATTTATTACTCTAATCATTTTTTTATTTTTAACATAAATAATGTTATATATATTCTTCTATAATTTCTATTTGTCTATTATTTTTATCTTTTTCAGTTTTATATATATATATATATATATATATATATATATATATATATATATATATATATATCCTTTGATTTTCTTTCTTTTTAGTTTTAAAATAGTTATTTTTCTGGATCGGGTTTTACGCCAGGACGATATTGGTTGATGATGTCATATAGTAGTTTTTTCTCATTGCTAAAGAGAATGGTGTAAATATTTATTTTGAAGAAAAAAAAAGTTTGTCGACATACTTTTGGTTTGGCATGACCCGTAAGACATCTCATATTGTTCGATTGATGTTATCGTCAACTTTCATGGTGGCGATTATGTTAAATTTTATTTACAAAAATTGTATCTAATACCTTAAGTTTTGTAAACGTTCTATTGGATTTGAAATCATGTATAATGTCTGAGTAAATATATAATTCGACAAGATGCACCACATAATAATTGTTGTTATTATTTATTTTGATTTACGAAAGGCTCATCCGCAAAATAAAAAAATTGTATTGATAATATAATAAATCTTGTTGATATTTTTAATTTTTACTTATATTGTTTGTGTAACATTTTCATTTCACTATTTTCGATACATACAAAAATTAGAAAAAAAATATACACTTTGTACTAAAACAAAAATAGAAAATAAAAAATGTCATAAATAAATCATTTTCGGTATATAAATAATTTAAAAAAAACACAATTTGTATTATAAAAAAGACAATAGAAAGTGTCATAAATAAATGATTACTTCTATAGTTATATTAACTAAAAGGGGTTGAACTGAAATATAAAAGGAATAGGAAAATGAATATATATGGTCTAACGCTTGTCATGTCGAATAGGACATCATAACAATTTTCGGTGTAGACAAACTATCCGATTAGCAACCCAACCTAATCTGACTTTCATATAAAAAATTAATTTTTTTTTCTATCTATCCAACTCAACCAATCCAATTATTCATACTCCTTAATAACCCAACCCAAACCTAGTATTATTTTTAAAAAAAATATATATATATAATAAAAATAAATCAGAACTATATAAATATTATACTCTATTTATAGAGAACAAAAAATCATGAATTTTAATCTTTTATTTTTATTTTTTATTGAAATAAAATTGATTTTTTTAATGATAATAACTTTTATCAAAAAATAATATATCTATCCCCTTAATAATAATAAACACATTGCATCAAAATAAGTTGGTAACTTGGATCGTGGTGTGGCCTAGGCTGCCCGTATTTATGTAATTTTTTTTTTCCAAAACTACCAATGGGGTAGCCTCATAGAAATCACAACTCACAGCCCAATAAAACGACGTGGAAGACCCATTGTTTAAAATAATTCAATAGAAAAGATGCTATTACATATTCAAAACTAATTTCAGAAAAAAGCTGCAAAATTGGTCCTTTTATTTTGGTAAAAACTGCAGGTAAGATTCAAAAAAATTTCCGACTTGTATTGAAGGTCTAAAATCATAAATTTTTCGTGGATTTGATTCTAAAAAGACCTCTAGCCCTTTTAGTCATTTTTCTTTAAAAAACAATTGTATAATGTGAGGTTTTTTTTCAAGAAAAACTAAAAAAGTCGATGATTTATTTGGAAGTATTTAGAAGGTTGAGTGTTTTTTTCGGAAAAAAAAGACAAAGTTAAGGGTTTTTCCGCAAAAAAATGAAAAAAATATCATGAAAAAAGTAAAGATGAGGTTTAATCCGGAAAAAACACAAAATATAACGTCTTTTATGAGATTAACCCATAAATGAAACTACTTTACTAATTACCTAATTTTCTATTCTTCTAATTATCAGTTAAATGAAAGTAAGTTGTTATTTTTGTTACAGGTTCAATGGCCATTATCTCTTGTGATATCAAGAAAAACTCTGACAAAATATCAATTAATTTTTCGATTTCTGTTTCATTGCAAACATGTTCACAGACAGCTTTGTGCAGCCTGGCAACTACATCAAGTATGAGACTGAATATCCCTATATTATAAAATAAAAATATCTCCTTTTAATTTTACTCTTTATATATATATATTTTTGTAATTACACTTTTCTTCTTGTTGTAGGGTGCACGTGCACGTGATATGCATGGAACTGCAATCTCTACATCATCAATACTATGTAGGAATATACTTAAATTTATAAATAACCTTCTTCATTATCTAACTTTTGAGGTAAAACTAAAACCATGTTCTTAAGTTCATAAAATAACAATGCACTTACATTTCCTTACCGATAATAACAATATATAACTATTATCAGTAAAAAGGTAAGTATGTTATGTAAAAAATAAAGTGCGTTGTGTAAGTTTCATGCTATAAGTATGTTGTCATTATGGGTAAAAGAAATATAAATATATTGCTATTTCCTATTTATTTATTTATTAATCCGATGTTAATGTGGTTGTTTATCTCTCTTTAATTCTTTTGTCAACCAACAAAGGTAGAAGTGATTATAATATTATGATTGAATAACGTATTCTTATATCTTCTTTTTAGGTTCTTGAACCAAATTGGCATGTTTAATAAACTTGAAAATGCAAAGAGCATAGATGAGGTATATGTTGATTTGTTTATTGTAGCATCTTACTTTCATCTTTTTGTATTAAAACATTGTGCTTTAAAAAATCTACCTAATTATAGCAATGCCATACAAATACTAAGCAATATTTACTTCTCTAGTTGGGTAAATTGTTAAAAGTTTAATGCTCTAATAAGAAAAAAATGGTACTATAATGTTGTAAAAGAAAAATATAAAAGTACATCGCTATATTTCACAAATAAATGAAAGTTGTTAATTTTTTCTTGTGTGTGCTTGTCTTTCTAATAAAATAGGTAATTCAATATTATGACTTTTTCATGGAGAAGTGTAACACCGTAAAATTTTCAAACAAATTTTTCGTTTTAAAATCACAGAATTCTCATAACACATTTTACAGAAATTCCAATTATCGAATTAACAGAACACCGACTCCATAATCGTTTGATTAATAAACCAGGATCCTCGAAACGTAACTTTTTCTCTCTCGTGTGTACAATCAAGCCGATGCCTTCCCGCGATCCAAAGAAGTACCTGAAACACATATCACATAACACGGTAAGCACGAAGCTTAGTGAGTTCCCCAAAATACCACACACAGCTCAATAGCCACTCGAGGCTATGACAGTGTAAGACCCTTTGGTCAATGTGTTTCAGTGGGACCCTCCAGTCCCAAAAACTTGGGTGGACCCTCCAGTCCTAACTCGGTAAGCTCAGAATAATGCACAACATAAATCACAAACACATAATGCACAACATGAATCACAAAGACATAATGCACAACATGAATCACAAAACATAAGGCAGAATATCACGATACTCAATGTAAGTACATAAGATCCTCCGGTCACACATAAGTACCACTCTAGGTAACGTATAGTGAGAAAACTCACCTCGTAAGCTAGCAAGTATAATCTCATACACGAAATCTCGAACTAGCCTCCGCTTAACACATAGAATAATTATCTCTAATTAATACTCTACTCGTACTCAAATACACCGAAGGTTGTTCTCCCTCTCTCTCCAATCTCTTGGAATGGTAAAAGACCATTTTACCCCTCCAGGGTCTCCATTACTCATGTTGACCAAACCCTAAAGTCAACAGAAGTCAAACTCGAGTCAATAGTCCATATTTGACCTGACTCGCCGAGTGCACCATGTGACTCGTCGAGTCTCCTCATTTTCCTCAGAAGTCTCGTGGAGGTTGACTCAGTTCGTCGAGTTGACTCCCAAGTAGCCGAGTTATTGCATGGCCGTGAACATCGGGACAAACCCTAACTGACTCGTCGAGTCAGCTCATGGACTCGACGAGTTTACTTAACCCAATTTCTCATTCAGACGTCTAAGGTCAGATCTACCACACTAGACTCTAGATCTTTTCCTTAAAGGCACAAGAGCTGCGTAAAGTCTCGACCTTTACGCTCATACATGGCATATATGCCCATAAATGCCAAAACAAAGTTTTACAAAGGGTTGGATGCTCAAAGTCTAGTCTCTAGCTCACTAAAGTTCAGGTCCTTGGGCTCTCAAGACCCTCCACACTTCAGATCTGAGGTTTCAACCTCAAATCATACACAAAAGGCTCAATGACTTTAAACAATGGAAGAAAACCCTAGAAAACCCTCATATCAATATCTCCATAGAAGATGAGCAAGTCAACATCTTTACCTCAAGAAAACTCTGCTGAATCTGAAGATCCAAAGTCTCCTCTTGCTCCAACCTCAATACTCTTCACTTCTCCTTCAAAGAATGCACCATCAACCACCAATTTAGCTCTTCTCTCACTCTCTCGCTCTAATGGCGATTAGGGTTTTCTCTCAGGGTTGAAGAATGGATGATGAGCCGCAAATGAAGCTATAAATGTCTTTAAATAGGTCCCAAACCCAGAAATTTAGGGTTTCTCCACCCAGCGTCTACTTGGCGAGTCGGCATACAGACTCGTCGAGTCAGCTCATTAACTCGCGTGACTAATCTCGACTCTACTCGACGAGTTGAGGCACCAACTTATCGAGTCACCCAGGCAAACTCATTATTCACATATAAAAATGTTATACCTCAAAAGTCAGGATGTTACAATTCTCCCCCACTTGAATTAGATTTCGCCCTCGAAATCGCCCTTAGCATCACATAGATCCAAACCGAATAGCCTGATAAGCACCACCAAAAAGAATCTCATACCATACAACAATCTTCCTCAAAAGACATCTGCCCCAAAACAGGACTTCTAATCCCGAAAAATACCATGAACCTTCGAACTTTTTCCAAATAAACCCTTGACTTTTTTAGTTTTTCTCAAAAAACCCTCACATTTTACAAGTTTTTTCGGAAAAAAAAATGACTAAAATGGCCAGATCGGAAAAAAAATGCAAGGTCTTTTTTAGGAAAAAAATAAAGTTGAGGTTTAATCCTGAAAAACACAAAATATAAGGTCTTTTATACGAATAAACCATTAAAAAAATCAAACTAGTGGGACCATATTTCTAAAATTGAACAAACCATAGGGACGAAAAATGTAATTTACTCATATTATTATTATTATTAAAGGCTTTTATATGTGATCTATAATTGCCTGCACTGGAGAATTCAAAATTGATGAACTTTGGGTCGAATGATCACTATCTTGAATGCATTAAATCTGCTTATGATTTTGCTAGTGGTGAATTACTAAATCTCATGAAAGACAAGGTGGGGTTATTTTCCTGATGGGTGCATTTTTTAGTTCTTTTAACTATATTTAATGACCAATTATTATTTTGAATGTTAACAGTATGATCTCATTAGAAAGCTGCATTCTATTAAGCATTATCTTCCTTTGGATCAGCTTAAATTTTGATTGTTGTGTTTTTGTAGTTTAAAGTTTTTGAATTGAAATTAATAATTATATTTTATTGAGTTAAAAATACAGGGTGATTTTTTGGTTCATTTTATGGATATTGCACGTGATGAACTTGATAAAACACCAAATGAGATCTCTGTTGAGAAGCTTCAGGTCTTTTTCCATTTACCTCATATTATCTGACTAAAAAAAACCAGAGTATATTTTGGGTAATTAGTGTGATTACACCACTGATAACTTTATTCTTTCCAATCAAACCATAAAAGTTAAGACATTTTCCCAAACTAACCATTCTAATTCTCCAAATTAGCCATTTTTGACCTATTATATCAGGTCAAAATTGTTAAATTGGAAATATGTCTGAAACTTTAATGGTTTTTTTGATTGGAAAAAATAAATAAAGTAGAAATGGTTAGTTAAACTGCAAAGTTGCCCAAAATATAATGTTTTTTCTGTAATTTGCTCTTATTTGTATCATCCATATGTATAGTTAGGGATAGAAGTTATCCATATATAAGAATTATCGTTTCTCACTCTCTTTTTACCCATTAAGTTCCATCTGAGAAAATAAATGACAATTATAAACAGATGACTTATGGAAAAATACTCGATTTCCTGACTTTCTTTCTGCATAAAGAGTTTGATGTTATAAATATAATACACAAATAAATGAAAATGAAAGTACACTGCTATTTTTTTATTTTATTTTGTAAAATTTACTTTTTAATTTATTTGAGTTTAATTTTCAGTCTCTGTTGGACCTTGCACTGCGTTCAACAGCAGCTGCAGCAGATCCTTTGCATGAAGATGTCACATGTTCTGTGGTCAGTTTCATTTATTCCCATTACACTTAACATTCTACTTTCAGAATTAATTAATTAATTTTTTATGCCTTTTTCAGGACATAGGTTCTTTGTTAAAGAGACTGAGCATTCTGAAAGATCTTCAAACAGGTGGTGGTGGTGGTGGTGAGACAGTTGATGTTGTAGAAGAAGAGTACTTGATCACCGGCATGGAAACCTTCTCTGTTAATTACAAGGTAATCACCTTTAACATTTTCTTTCTTTCTTTCATTCAATACAACAAATAGCAACCTACTTTCATTCATTTCTTTATTATTTATTTATAACATCTTAATATCATTTATTCCTATTACAACATTCTACTTTGAAAAAAATCCATTTAGTTATTTATAGCAATGTCATTCAAATACAAATCATTTTCAATATTACAATGTTATAATTGGAATTAGGGTTAATTTCATAAAAGACCTTATATTTTGTGTTTTTTCCGGATTAAACCTCAACTTTATTTTTTCATGAAAAAGACCTCCGGCCCTTTTAGTCATTTTTCTCTAGAAAAAGTTGTATAATGTGAGGTTTTTTTCAGGAAAAACTAAAAAAGTCGAGATTTATTTGGAAACATTTAGAAGGTTGAGTGTTTTTCGGAAAAAAAAAAACGAAGTTAAGGGTTTCTTTTGCAAAAAATGAAAAAATATATCATGAAAAAAATACAGATGAGGTTTAACCCGAAAAAAACACAAAATATATGGTCTTTTATGAGATTAACCCATAAATGAAACTCCTTTACTAATTATCTAATTTTCTATTTTTCTAATTATCAGTTAAATGATAGTAAGTTGTTATTTTTGTTACAGGTTCAATGGCCATTATCTCTTGTGATATCAAGAAAAGCTCTGACAAAATATCAATTAATTTTTCAATTTCTGTTTCATTGCAAACATGTTCACAGACAGCTTTGTGCAGCCTGGCAACTACATCAAGTATGAGACTGAATATCCCTGATATAAATATTTATTATAAAATAAAAATATCTCCTTTTAATTTTACTCTTTATTTTTTTTTGTAATTACACTTTTCTTGTTGTTGTAGGGTGCACGTGCACGTGATATGCATGGAACTGCAATCTCTACATCATCAATACTATGCAAGAATATGCTTAAATTTATAAATAGTCTTCTACATTATCTAACTTTTGAGGTAAAAGTAAAACCATGTTCTTAAGTTTTTAAAATAACAATGTACTTATATTTCCTTACCAATAATAACAGTATCCAGTTATTATCAATAAAACAGTAAGTATGTTATGTAAAAAATAAAGTATATTGCGTAAGTTTCATGCTATAAGTATGTTGTTGTTTATGGGTGAAGAAATATAAATATATTGCTCTTTCCTATTTATTGTATTACTCCAATGTTAATGTGGTTATTTATCTCTTTTTAGTTCTTTTGTCAACCAACAAAGGTGGAAGTGATATTATATTATTATGATTGAATAACATATTCTTTTTATCTTGTTTTAGGTTCTTGAACCAAATTGACATGTTATGCATAATAAACTTAAAAATGAAAAGAGCATAGATGATGTATATGTTGATTTTTATTCCTCTCAACTCTTGGGTTAAAATGCAAGAAATAGCAATGTACTTCTGTTAATTTGTTTATTGTGCTTTGAAAATCTACCCAGTTATAGTAATGTCATCCAAATACAAAGTAATTTTCACTTCTCTAGTTGGGTAAATTGTTAAAAATTTAATGTTCTAATATGAAGAAAAAAAAATGGTACTACAATGCTTGTAAAAGAAATATAGAAAGTACATTGCTATATTTCACAAATAAATGAATGTAAGTTGTTAGTTTTTTCTTATGTGTGGTTCTAATATTTGTATGAAAATAGGTAATTCAATATCATGACTTTTTCATGGAGAAGTGTCTCAAGGAATGTTCACTTCTTTCACCAATCCTCCTCAAGGTTTGCAGCATTCCTATTCATAATGCTCTAAAATTTGCAAATCTAATTTTACAAAATACAATATGGAAAAATGAAGGAGCAATATGCACATTTAATATGATTTCCACTAGGCATTATTTCCTTGCATACATTGTGAAAAAAGAAACATCACATGTAATAGACCTTGTTTCTTGTTTCTTTTTTTTCCCCATTAAGTGTTGTCTGTATAAAGTCTTGTCTGTATAAAGTCTTGTCTAGATTACTAATGTTTAAAAAATATTTTAGAAAATGACAACCCACTTGGGGAAATAGAAGGAAAAGTTAAATGAAAGTCAAATTCATAAAAAGGTTGGTAAAAAAGAAACATTGATATGTAACCTACCACATTAAGGCGTTGTTTCTTTTTTACTTAATGAGGTTATAAGTACTTTTTCATTTTAAAAATTGATGAATATTCTTAAATTTTTTTTTGGAATGTAAGGGTAAAATGGTCATTTAGTCAGACATACATCATTATCTGTTCAGTCACTTATACCCATACATGACTTAATGGGGCCCGAAGTCATGTCTCCGTTAGTTAAAAAGGAAATAGTCATATAATATACAAGGTTTGTGTTTGTTCTAATAGTAATGTGTTTTTGGGGTGAATGCAGAAATTTGAGAAACTGAAACTTGTATGCCTTCAGTATGCTTCTGCAACTCGGTGGCTAATGAGCTCCATTGAAGCTCCTGATTCAAACAGTTCCTTTGATGATTTGCATTCATCTTCCTTGGAAAATCTAAAGGTTTTGAAGCTAAGAAAGTCTTCCAAAAAACCAAATTCACCCACAGATGAGTCTACAGTCATCGAATGTGTCCTGTAAGATCTAAAAACTATACCCCCCATATTTCTCTTTTTCTTTCTATGTATGTATGTATGTATGTATGTATGTGTATGTGTATGTATGTATATGTCTGAAGGGATGGAGTGATTTTTGACAGGAAATTTGAGAGGGAGTTCAGTAGTGAGCCGGAGAGTTTAAGACCAATATTGAGCAGCAGGGCACAAGCAGAACCATATTTGACTCATCTTGCACAGTTGATTCTTGGTGTTGGTATGGATCACCACATGTAGATTTTTTTTAGTTGAAGTTTACAGTTTGCTTGTTGATTGTTGATTGTATTGGTTTTATGTATATATATGTTTTGGAATGAAAGTGTTTTTGCTTGCATGATTAACCACTTGTGTAGATTTCGTAGTAGTATAACATGGATCATCTGGATTTGATTTAGCCAAAACACAAGTTGTTTGTTGTTATTGAAATGATATGGAGTTTTATGTGATGCTGTTTTTGTTGATTGAAAACCGAATTTTAAAAACCGATCCAATCGAATTTATAATTTGGTTGGTTCAGACTTCAGATTGGATTTGAATTTAATTTGTATTATTCGGATTTGCGTCTTGAAAACCGAAATCAATTGGATTCACTTGGTTCCATCTGAACGTGTAGAATATGACTGGAGTCTGGAAAAACTTTTAATAACTTCTGTTATCCTCAGCCAGGATCAGCCCCAGTACTTTATTCTGTAGCTCACAAGTTCTTTAGATTAACTGCCAGTCCTTGAACTTTAGCTTTATGACCAATACAACCACTAAAAGTAAAACCTGCATTAATAATTAACTTGTAGAAACCTTTCCAAGTTAATAACACAAATAAAATGGACATTTAATCATTGTTAAGAATGCATAACAGGGTAACAGCAAATCATATAGTACAAATCAGTTACAATGGACGAGAGCCATCATGCAATGTATTAGATATATGATGAATCATGAAAGTATATTAAGCACAACTAAAAGTTATGAAATTGGTCGATCAATTGCGATAACTGTAAGTTATAAGTGAGAGAAGAGTTTTGGGATATTTAGTATCAAATTTATAAAATGTTTGGACTTTTACCCATCTTTTGTACTTGTCTCTATACTTGAACAAGACAAATGTTTGGGTACAATTTGGATAGTAAGGGAGGAGAGAGTTTATGATTAAGCAAGAGACAAGAGGAGGAATGATCTGACTGATACAACATATCTATATATACACCAACCAACACACTCAAATAACTAATTAATTAATACTCTTCATTATATAATCTGAGAACAATTGTTTCCCTTGGCGTTCCCTGTCTAATTATTTCTTTATTTAGCCCCTTGCATTTATAGAACTCCAGATGTCGGATGGATGACATGTTGGTTAACCACATGGGTAGTTCTCACATTCCGTATCTATATATGGTTAACGCAGTCAGTGAAGTGAGGTGCTGTATTTCTTCTGGCATTGACTCCCAGTGATCCCAACCATTTAATTCTAACGAGTGAAGGTGGTTCCTTAACTTCTCGATGCCTTGGAGACTTGGGAAAGAATCGAGCACCTTCGAAAACGGACCAACTCTCAACTCGTTTAAGAAGGCAAAACAGTCAAACATTTCATGAGGCAAGGAAGTCAGGTTGTTGCAATGGCTAATAGACAAAGTCTTCAAAGAATGACACTGGTTAGGCAAATTGGTTATTCCTAAAAGACTATCACAACAGAAAATTTGTAAATATACGAGAGATGTGAGGCCTTGTATGCTCTTAATGGACACCAGAGCTGTGCAACGCGATATCTTTAAGGACACAAGAGGATGGGGATGGCATTCATTTAAGAGAATAATTTTTGGGCAATAAGTAATCTCCAACCTCTCGAGGACAGGCGATATCATTTTTGAGCTGTTGGGTTCTCCGTCTATTCACTTTTCCAGTCTTTCCATACGATCTAGTCGGAGCGATCTCAATGATGGAGACAAAGGCTTGGTTGATCCGGTAACATCGCAACTCCTTAAACATGTCAAGTTGTCCATTCCCAATAACTCAAGTTCCCGAAGATGTGGTAGGTGCTCAAGCGTCGGAAGAGAGAGGCAGCTGCTACATCCAGATAATCTAATCTCCACCAGCTTGTCAAGGGGCGTCCATTTCCCTTCAATATGGATTGCCATCTTCATCACCCAATCCGGAAAATTATCACCAGAAAAATTAATAATTGTCAATTTTTTTACATCTTGTGGGGGTTGCAAGCCTTCCAATACACCCACATCGTTTCCATTGGCACCTCCACGGTTCTAACTCCATTCGAATTGAATCTTGTATAAATTTTTCTTTCTAGATAAATCTGCCTTGACAGCATCCTCTTTGCTCCTAATATTTTCTAAATTGGAAATACGGAGCCTCCCACTAAGGTTATTCAAATGGCGTAGCTCTTCAATACCATGTCCCTTCCTTCTAAGCACTTTCACAGAAGGCAAATTTCGAATAAAAATCCACTGTCCTGCGATATTGGTGGGAATGTTTGAGTCGCACACAAAATATCGCAGGTTTATCAAATTTCTCGTGGCTTCTGGAAATTGCTTAATGTCATTAGGCAACTTTAGAGTTTGCAAGTGGTATAATTTACCAATCGATTCAGGAAGAACACGGATCTTCGTAGATGACAAATTAAGATACCTCAACCCTCCAATCGAATCGTCTATCTTCTCAATACTATCTCCTTTGATTTTAGGAAGCGTATGCACTTTAATCGTTGAAATGAAAACTTCTTCTCAACTTCACCTTTGATGAACAATGTATGCAAAGATCTAGCAACTGTATTCCTTTCAATCAACATAGAAACCTTGGCTGTGAATTCATCATCCTCGTTCTCTTCTTGGTAAAAAGCGAGATGTTTAACCTGAGGGATACATGCAATGTCGTCATTTGTCGCATCCACCAGACATAAGTTTTCATGTTTTGAAAGTGATAATGAAAGATCATGCACCAAATCATGTATGCTACAACGAGTGATGTGACCATACTCATCCCTTTCAACATCTTGGAACAATGAATTGCAAACCAAAATTTGAAAAATATCATTTCCCACATCCTCCACCTCCTTGTCTTTTTCCTCATCTGCTTGAACCAACCCTAAAGCCATCCAAAGTCGGACCAGTTCCTCCCTTTCCATAACCTTATCTTTCTTAAAGATGGAACAATATGCAAAGCATTGCTTGGCCATAGAATTGGGGAGATTATCAAAGCTCAGTTCCAAACTCTTTTGAACTTTCTTCGTTTCATCTTCTAGATCCCAAACTTTGCTATTTTTGACGGCCAACCACTTCTCCGGGTCATTGTAATTTTGCAACATACCTCCTATTACATTTAATAGCAACGGCAAATCACAACATTCCACTTTGAGAAATAATTAATTAATTAATATTTTATTAATTAATATGTCTTTTTCAGGACACAGGTTCTTTGTTAAAGAGACTGAGCATTCTGAAAGATCTTCAAACAGGTGGTGGTGGTGGTGAGTCAGTTTCAGAGGCTGATGTTGTAGAAGAAGAGCCCTTGATCACTGGCATGGAAACCTTCTCTGTTAATTACAAGGTAATCACCTTTAACATTTTCTTTCTTTCTTTCATTAATTGCAAGAAATAGCAACCTACTTTCATTCATTTGTCTTTTATAACATCTTACTATCATTTATTCCTATTATTACAACATTCTACTTTGAAAAAATCCATTTAGTTAGTTATTGCAATGTCATTCAAAAACAAATCATTTTCATTATTACAATGTTATAATTGGAATTAGGGTTTTGTGTTTTTTTTTTTCCGGATTAAACCTCAACTTTATTTTTTCATGAAAAAGACCTCTGGCCCTTTTAGTCATTTTTCTTTAAAAAAAGTTGTATAATGTGAGGTTTTTTTCAGGAAAAACTAAAAAATTCGAGGATTTATTTGGAAACATTTAGAAGGTTGAGGGGTTTTTTTTCAGAAGAAAAGACAAAGTTTAGGGTTTTTTTTTTTTTTTTTTTTTTTTTTTTTTTTTTTTTTTTTTTTGCAAAAAATGAAAATATATATCATGATGTGGTTTAATCCTGAAAAAACACAAAATATATGGTTTTTTATGAGATTAACCCATAAATGAAACTCCTTTACTAATTATCTAATTTTCTATTTTTATTATTATCAATTAAATGAAAGTGAGGTGTTATTGGTGTTGATACTGGCTTACACTCCAACATGCCAAACTTTTGAAGTATATCTCTTGTATACTTTTGTTGGCAGAGGAACAACCCTTCCTTTGTACGATCAACTTCTAACCCCAAGAAGTGTTTAAGCTCCCCCAACTCTTTCATTTGGAATCGCACCGATAGATTTTCTCTTGTTTGATGGATTTCTCTTTCGTCATCCCCGGTGATGATCAAGTCATCCACATAAACCAACACAATTGCCAACTTCCCTTCTTTTTCTTTGACGAACAGGCTTGAGTCTGCATGTGCAACTGAATAACCACTTCGGGTAAGAAACTCAGCAATCTTACCATACCAGGCTCTTGGTGCCTGCTTCAATCCGTAAAGAGTTTTTCTCAGCTAGCACACATGAGTGGGATTAACTGCATCCTCAAATCCCTTTGGTTGGTTCATGTAGATCGCCCGATCTAATTCTCCATGCAAGAAAGCATTCTTCACATCCATCTGCCATAATTTCCAGTCTTTACTAGCTGCAAGAGCTAGCAGCACCCGTACAGTAGTTATCTTCGCCACTGGACTAAATGTTTCATCATAGTCCAGTCCATATTGTTGTGAGAACCCTCGAGCCACCAAACGAGCCTTGTATCTTTCCATTGATCCATCTGTGCGTCGCTTTAGTTTATAAACCCACTTGCAGGAAATGGGTTTTATATCTCTTGGTCTAGGTACCAGTTCCCACGTTTGATTATGCTTTAAGGCTGTAACTTCTTCTTCCATTGCCTTCTGCCAAGCTTTATTCTTAATTGCTTCTTCATATGTCTCCGGCTCTTTAACACCGTCTTCTAAAATGGCCGCATTAGCATACTTGGGATTAGGCTTTCGGATTCTTTCCGTCCTTCGAAGTTGTGGAGGCGGCGTCTCCCTTTCACCGGCATCACTTGCTTGAGTTACTTCTTGCTCAATGACATCAGTATCACTCAGATCTTCAGGTGTATCAACACTTGACCAAATGTGTGCAGTTTGCTCCCCCATCTTTTGTTTTAAAACTTCTTCAATATTTTCCGAGTCTGGTAATACTTTCTTCTCTAAGGACCACCATGAAGATGCTTCATCGAACACTACATCTCTTGAAGTGTAGCATCTTCCGCTTGTTGGATCACAACACCTCCATCCTTTTCTTTGATTGTCATATCCAACAAATATACACCTGACTGCTTTCTTGTCAAACTTGCTACGTAAATGACTAGGTACAAATACGTAGCAGACACAACCAAATACTCGGAAGTAGCTAACAGTAGGTTTCATGTTCCATAGTGTCTCAAATGGTGAGATGAAACCTAACCTTGGTTGGGGAAGTTTATTGATCACATGGGCAGCAGTTCGCATTGCTTCAGCCCAAAATCTTCCTGGGACATTCTTCGCGTGTAGCATGCTTCGACAAATTTCTGCAAGATGTCGATTCTTTCTCTCAGCTACACCATTTTGTTGAGGTGTGTTGGCACATGTGAATTGATGACGTATACCACATTCTTTTAGATAGCTATTGAATTCTTCCGAGGTGTATTCTCCTCCATTGTCTGAGCGTAGACACCGAATCTTCTTTCTCACTTCTCCTTCGACCGTTGTCTTGAATTCTAGAAACTTTGAGAATGTTTCAGATTTTTCTTTCATGAAGAAAACCCACACATATCTCGAATAATCATCAATGAACGTCACCATGTACCGCATCCCGCTAATTGATGTCTGCTTGACTGGACCGAACACATCCGAGTGAATTAACTCTAGTGGCTTCTTTGCTCTAAAATTTGACTCCTTGTATGGTAATTGATGAGCTTTACCATACTGACATCCAGCACAAACATCTGTTTTAACTTCAAGTTGAGGTAAGCCACTGAGCATGGATTTCTCCATTATTACCTTCAACTTGTGATAACCAACATGTCCCAGTCGTGCATGCCATAGATCTGTTGTCTCGTTCTTACGAGTCTTATCTACATAGGCAGATTCTGCGGAGAGAACATAGATGGACTCCACTCTCCGTCCTTCCATTGTTGGCTTTTCTGATATTTTAAGATCTCGATAGACCTTCACATCTTGTGGGCCAAACAAGACGTAGTTTCCTGATGATGTTAGTTGCGATACCGATAACAAGTTCTTCTTCATACCTGGCACGTGATAGACATTATGTAGTGACACCATGTCAGATTTATTACCTGGCATGATCGTTGTTTTGCCAATCTGAGTAATTGGAAGTCGTGCATTGTTGGCTGTAAGTACCATGCGACTCCCTTTGTACTCCTTCACGTCTTGTAGTTTGTTCTGATCACCAGTCATGTGATTAGAGCATCCTGAATCAATGATCCAGTCATTCTCATAGTTGATACGCTCTCCCATCATTGCCATGAGCGCCAACTCGTTTTCTTCTATGACGCATAATGCCCCAGCATCCCATTCATCATCTATTTCCTTTTTGGAAGTTACGACATTGCTTTCCACAGACTTTTTCTTTGACCAACAATCTTTGGACATGTGGCCCCACTTTCCACAATTATTGCAGTTGCCTTCGAACCTCCTCCCCCGAGAACTCTTATTGTCGGTCTTTTGAGATCTCCATGGTTGTGAGGTTCCTGGCTGACTCTTCCCTTTGTCAGCATTTTTGTATCCTTCTTTAGAAGGTGGCTTGAAATTCCTCCGACTTTTACTTGTGTAGAGTGCTTCTTCTTCACTCTTCAGCGTGATGCCTCCCATTTGCTTAGCCATAGCTTCTTGGCTGGCCAACAAATTCTCAAACTCTACAAGTGATGGTTGAACGGGCCATCCTTGTACAGCAGTAATGAAGCTTCTATATTCCGGCCTCAGTCCATGGATGATGATCCTCTTCATTCGAGCTTCTGTAATGACGGATTGCGGATCTAGTTCAGTAATCTCCCGACATATCGACTTGACCTTGTGGAAATATTGAGCAATCGTCATGTCACGTTGTGAGATTGATAATAGCTCGTTCTCCAAAAGTTGTAGTCTTGTATCATTCTTCTTTGAGAAAAGCGTCACAAACGTGTCCCAAGCTTCTTTCGGTGTGTTCTCGTCCCGAATATGCTCCAACATCTCTTCTTCGATTGTGGTCTTCAAGGCAAACATTGCTTTGCCTGCTTTGATTTTCCATTTGCGTAGAGCGCCATTAACATCTTCCTCCGGAGGCGTGGTTTCGCTTCCGCCAACGACCTCCCATAGATCTTGTCCTTGTAAGTAGGACTTCATACATGTTTCCCATGTTTTGTAGTTGTTGTTGTTGAGTTTCTTGATTCCTCCGATGACTTGGAGATCACCCATCGTGTTGGTAGTACCTCGGTAATACCAAACAAGCTAGTTTCGACACTAAACTTGCAGAGTCACAAACTACTCACGATACAACGAGAATCACTCGTTCTCACTATCAAGAAACCTTGCTCTGATACCAGATTGTTGAACACGACTCTTTGTATGGGAAACAAGACTTTTATTTAGACATTTAAGAAGACCTTACACTTTGTGAGACTACTACACACTTTGCTCTCTTTGAGGCTTTCTTGGATGGTTAGATGTTGGATGAGCTCCACACCTATTTATAGGCCTCTTAGGAAGGTTCTAGATACTAGTATACACTTACTACATACTAGATAACTCTAGAACTATCTAACAACACCAACACACTCAAATACCTAATTAATTAACATTCTTCATTATTTAGTGTGACATCAGTTGCTTCCTGTGGTGCTCCCCGTCTAACTGTTTCTTTATTTAGCCCCTTGCATTCATTAAAGTTCAAATGTCGGATAGATGGCATGTTGGTTAACCACATAGGCAGCTCTTGTATTCCGAATCCATCTATTTCTAACCCATTGAGTGAGGTGAGGTGTTGTATTGCTTCAGGTATCGACTCCCAATGATCCCAACCTCTCAATTCTAACGAGTGAAGGTGGTCCCTTAACTTCTCGATGCCTTGGAGACTCGGGAAAGAATCGAGCTCCTTTGAGAACAGACCAACTCTCAACTCATTTAAGAAGGCAAAACAGTCAAACATTTTGTGAGGCAAGGAAGTCAGTTTGCTGCAGTTGCTAATTTGCAAAGTATTCAAAGAATGACACTGGTTGAGTAAATTGGTTATTTCTGAGAGACTAGGACACATGGCAATTTTTAAAGATTCAAGAGATGTGAGGCCTTGTATGCTCTTAATAGACACCAGACCTGTGCAGGCTCTAATTTCTAAGGAAACAAGAGGATGGGGATGACATTCATCTAAGAGAATAATCTTTGGGCAATCATTGATTTCCAACTTCTCGAGGACAGGCGATATCATTGTTGAGCTATTGGTTGCTCCATCTATCCACTTTTCCAGGCTGAACATACGCGATAGTTTCAGCGATCTTAACGATGGAGACAAAGGCTTTTTTAATCCAGTAACATCGGGACTACTTAAGAATGTCAAGCTGTCTATATCCTCCAACTCAAGATCCCGAAGATGTGGCAGGTTCTCAAGCGTTGGAAGAGAGAGGCAGCTCCTACAGATAAAGTGATTGACAGGCACCTCTTGATAGATAAAGATTCAAGAGATGTAAGGCCTTGTATGCTCTTAATTGACGCCAGACCAGGGCAGTTCTGGATAATTAAGGAAACAAGAGGGTGGGGATGGCATTCATCTAAGAGAATAATCTTTGGGCACCTCCAAATGACCAACTTCTCAAGGACAGGGGATATCATTTTTGAGCTGTTGGGTTCTCCATCTATCCACTTTTCCAGCCTTTTCATACCCATTAACCAGAGCGATCTCAACGATGGAGACAAAGGCTTGTTTGATCCGGTAACATTGGAACTCCTTAAGCATGTCAAGCTGTCCATACCCCCCAACCAAAGATCCCGAAGATGTGGAAGGTGCTCAAGGGTCGGAAAAGAGAGGCAGCTGCTACATCCATATAATCTGATCTCCACCAGCTTGTCAAGGGGAGTCCTTTTCCCTTCGATATGGATTGCCATCTTCGTTACCCAATCTGGAAAATTATCACCACAAAAATTTATAATTTTCAATATTTTAACACCTCCAGGGGGCTGCAAGCCTTCCAATACATCCTTGTCAACAACTCTGTTGGAGCCTTGATCATTCTCACTCCAATTGAACTCAATATCGTATAAATTTTTCTTTCTCGATAAATCTGCCTTGACAGCATCCTCTTTGCTCCTAACATTTTCTAGATCGACAATACAGAGCTTTCCAGTAAGGTTATTCAAATGGCGTAGCTCTTCAATACCATGTCCCTTCCTTCTAAGCACTTTGACGGAAGGCAATTTTCGGATAAGAGTCCATTGTCCCACAATATTGGAGGGAATGCTTTCGTCATAAATGAAATATCGCAGGCTTATCAAATTTCTCATGGTTTTTGGAAACTTGTTAACATGATAGCAATTTTGCAACTTCAGAGTTTGTAAGTGGTATAGTTTACCAATAGATTTAGGAAGAACACTAATATCCGTCTTTGACAAATCAAGATACCTAAGATGCACCAACTCTCCAATTGAATTGTCTAACTTCTCAATACTATCTCCGTTGAGTTTTAGGATGCGTATGCACTTTAATCGTTGAAATGAAAACTTCTTCCCAACTTCACCTTTGATGAACAATGTATGCAAAGTTCTAGCCACCGTCTTCCTTTCAATGAACATAAAAACCTCCGCTGCCAATTTGTAGTTCTGTTCTTGGTAAAAAGCGAGATGTTTAACCTGAGGGATACATGCAATGTCATCATTTATCGCATCCACCAGACATAAGCTTTCATGTTTCGAAAGTGATAATGAAAGATCATGCACCAGATCATGCATGCTACAACAAGTGATGTGACCATACTCATCCCTTTCAACATCTTGGAACAATGAATTGCTAACCAAAATTTGAAAAATATCATTTCCCACATCCTCCACCTCCTTGTCTTTTTCCTCATCTGCTTGAACCAACCCAAAAGCCATCCAAAGTTGGATCAGTTCTTCCCTTTCCATGAGTGTATCTTTCTTAAAGATGGAACAATATGCAAAGCATTGCTTAGCCATAGAATTAGGAAGATTATCAAAGCTTAGTTGCAAGCTTTTTTCAACTCTATCCCTTTCATCTTCTAGATCCCAGACTTTGCTATTTTTGATGGACAACCACTTTTCTGGGTCACTGTAATTTTGCAACATGCCTCCTATTACCTTTACTAGCAACGGTAAACCACGACACTTTTTCACAATATCACGCCCTATCTCCTCCAATTCGGTTAGTGGTGATTGACCTGGTAGAAACGATCTCTCTTTAAAGATGTACCAACAATGATCACTAGAAAGACCTTTTAAAGGACATGAATCCATCGCCATAGCCTTAGTTCCGATGTCAAGTTTCCGGGTAGTAACAAGAATGCTACTTCCAATTTGGGACTTCACATTTATCATAACACTCCTAAAGTCTTCCCAATATAATCTCTGTTCATCCCAGACATCATCCAGGACTAGCAAATATCTTTTTGAGCCCAACTTCTCTTCAAGATCTCGAACTAAATTGACCATTGTTTCCAACTTAGGTTTCTCTCCTGCAACAGATTCATAGATCTTTACGAGAAGTGTGTTGATATCAACCTTAACCGACACACACAACCAAGCTTTCACATCAAAATGTTGCTGGATTTTTGGCTTATTGTATACGGACTTAGCCAGAGTGGTCTTCCCCATCCCGCCCATTCCCACAATCGGAACAATCGTAAGCTTTTCTTCTTTTCTGGACTCCGTTAAAAGGTGTATGATGCGCTCTTCATCATCCTCCCTCCCAACAACTTTGAATTCGCCTAAATTTGGATCTGTCTCCGGGTAGGGACGATCTCGAACAGCAGGGCCAGGCTGTTCATTTTGTAGTCCCAACTCGTTTGCTTGTTTATTGATTTGAGACAACTTTTCGTTGATGTTTTTGATTTTATGACCCATTTCACTACGAAAGAAAAGCTTTTTCAAGCTTGGGAGAGAGGGTACCTTTATTGCCACCCGATCTCGATTCTTTACCTCACGCCTCAACATTTCATAGTGAACCTCATCCACCACATCATCAGCTTCACCAACCACATCTTTTAGCTGTTTCAGCCACTCCATCACACCATGTTTTTTACCTTTCTGAATCTCGGCATCCTGTAACTTGGCACGAATCATTTACAAGGTCCGTTCAAGTGTGTACAACTTCTCTTTGTAACCCCAAGCAAGGGCGATTTCGTTGGCAGCTATGGATGCTACCTTTTTCAGGATCGCCTCGGCAGTAACAGTAACTAAAGCGTCGGCCATTTTCAAATTTCAATGGTGTGTGTATGTGTGTTTGAGAGAAGAGAGATAGAAAGAGAGAGTGAGTCGATGAGAGAGCGTGAAATATAAAGTCACAGAATTCAAAACTCACAACCCAATAAAACGACATGGAAAACTGAAAAGATGCTTTAACATATTCAATCTTAATTTTATCTTAAAGAATTCAATATAATATTTACCCATATATAACAATTATTGTTTCTCTTTCTACCCATTAAATTCTCTGTGGATAACTAATGCTAAAAGAATATCCGAGAAAATGGAAGAAAAAAATAAATAAGGACATATTTGTAAACAAATATATGCTTATGGGAAAATACACAATTTCCTGACTTTTTTTTCTGCATAAAGAGTTCGATGCAATAAATATAATACATAAATAAACAAAAGTACATTGCATTTTTTTTTTCAAATTTACGTTTTTATTTATTTGAGTTTAAAAAGATTGAGTATTCTCAAAAATCTTCAAACAGGTGGTGAGACAGTTTCAGAGCCCGATGCTGTAGAAGAGCCCTTGATCACTGGTATGGAAACCTTTTCTGTTAATTACAAGGTAATTAAACACACCTTTTGGTAAGCTATTTATGTTCAATGCTATTGCTGCCTATTATATGATAGTTTTTACTGAATATAATTATAAATAATGATATAGATTCTTAGATATTTGATATCGACAGTAATGCAACTTTGAACATTCTAAGTTCTGGAAACTACAGTGAGTGATAAATTTACTAATACAATAACAAGCTATTCAATAGGAATCATTGACTATGTAAGATAAATATAACAGTATAACACATTTTAGTGTCAGGGTTGCATGAATTTACTATTTTTCTATGTAATAAATAATTATTTTTCAGAGAATTATCAAGCCATGCATCAATTTCGACTAGGAAGACTCTCAATACAAGGATTATGGTTATATTGTCAGGTACTTTTTTATAAACTTCATTTTTTGTTTATATATTTACAAATTAAGATGAGTATCTTCTTTTTTGGTTTCATGATTCATATTTGTTGCCTTTTTACCTATTTGCAGCCAATGATGGGATCAATGCAAGCATTATCAACAGTAATAAGAAAGGCATCAGCAAGTAATTTTGTAGGTTCTGCAGTTCTTAACCTTTTACAGAGTCAGGTAAGTATCTCAATAAAATAAACTAAAATATATTATATGCTATTTATTTATATATTTTAAATTTAACCAGGCCAAGATTATGGCTGGTAACTATTTGGTGAGATCATTGCTTGAGAAGATGATAGAGTCCGCAAATTCTGCTTATCTTGGCATACTTGAAAGGTATATATAAAGTCACAATGCCCAATAATATACTCCAAAAAGTACTATTTTACCCCTTTACCAATATAGAAAGTGTGTTGCTATTTTCTGCAATTTTCCCATAACATACTCAATATTGTCCATATATATTTGCATATATGCAGGTGGGTGTATGAAGGAGTTATTGATGATCCTCATGATGAGTTCTTCATTGCTGAGAACAAATCTCTCCAAAAAGTACTATTTATTTTTACCCCTCCTACAAATTTTTCCAAAAAGTACAAACATGCTAAAAAGTACGATTTTACCCCTGCTGTTATAGGAGAGTCTGACCGAAGATTATGATGCTATGTATTGGAGACAAAGATACAGTCTGAAAGATGATATCCCTTTTTTCCTTGCAAATTCAGCTGAAACCATTTTAACAACAGGGAAATCTTTGAATGTCATGAGAGAATGTGGCCACACTGTTCAGGTCTTGTTTCTTTCTGCAACTTTCATTTAATCACGTTTTTCATCCCTTTGTTTTGTTGATTCTTACAAATGTGGTCCAATCGTTTGATTTTTAACTTCTTGGTCCTTAAAACGCTGTTTTGTCAATGCTTTAGGGACCCAGAATTTAAAAAATCAAAGTAGCTGTCACACCCCGAAACCGATGGCGGAAACGTTCCGGGGCGGAGGACGTCATGTGTAGCATCACAACCAATGAATAACAGCAATCATAGCAACACAACCATTACAGTGAATACTTAAATAAAAATGTTTACATCAGTTGAAACTTTGTCTGAAACTTTGTTTGAATTACATCCAATAGCTTTGTATAGTATAAACATAAAACTCTTTTTGCTCCAGTTCCTCGAAAATCCAGCAAGTACCTGTCTACTGATTTCCTGAGAATACAAGCAGTTTGAAAGAGTATCAGCATAAAGCTGGTGAGTTCATAAGCGGTGGTTTGTAGTGAAAATCGTTGATGAGTTCGTAAAATGTTTGTATAGTTCCAAGAAAATCCGATATTTTCTTTAGTGAAAATGTAGTGTTCTCAATTCTGTATAAAACCATGAATGTTTGTCACTGAAAACTGTAGTGATATGCGAAATTATTACTTCATGTGACTAGCTAATGCTAATCATGATGTAATAGTATTTCGTGCGTGCAACCATTGTATGTTCGTTTCTATTTGAAAACCCTGAAAGTTCTCCAGTTGTAGTGTGTATTAGTTCTATTTAGTGTAAATAAAACTGTTGAAGAGTGTCAAGTTGTAAACTAAAGATGATTTATACATATTGTGAGTCGTATAACCATGCTTGATATGACTAGAGACCTTTCCAACGGTCTTCAGGCCTCGAGTTAAATGACATTTGTCACCCTAGGTATGCCTGCCCAACTGTAGCTAGCAGTTCGGGTGTGGGATTGTCAGTCCTGAATAGATCTATTCACAAATCTCACGCTCTCCCTCCAGGAGACTCTGGTTATACTATGGTAGGATTTATCCCTGTACACCTAAGGGTACAGTAGTGAAGTAGCGCCTCACAGTATCGTATAATCTAGTTTACATGTAGTGTAGTAGCGTTCTACCGTAGTGAAAATCCGTATGTATACCATATATAGTGATAATTACAGTTATGAATACCATGATAAAGTAGTGATGTAAACTGTAAACGGTTTCTGTCTTAGTGCATATGTTTAGTAGTGAAAGTTTCTATACTTGATATGTGTTAGAAAAATCCCAAACTATACCGATTATAGTTTGCATGTAAAACGTAGCGAATAGCGTGTTCGGAAAAAATTATGCAATTTTAGTGAAAACGTCCCTTATGCTCAGCATAGTACAAAAGGGATTTAAAGTATGAGATTTGCATAAGTTTTATGTATATTCTTGAAAACATTTATGTTTAGCTTGTATTCCCCCCTGAAAACATTAAAAATACAGAAAATGTAGGGGTATGAACTCACAGTTGTTGCGTGAAATCGTTGACTGAAATGAAGATCCTCGAGTTGTTGCACGTGACACTTAACGGAATCCTATTATCAAATAAATACATATATGTATCTAAATTAGTGATTTCGTTAGACAAAGTGTCAGAAGAACACTTGTGTTCGGTTGAGGAATGTTACCGGGACTGATCGAATCGATGAAAGTGGGTTTTCAGCCAAAAGCACCACTTAAAAGGTGTTTACGGCCGTGAACAAGGGTTTACGGTTGACAAACAGTTTACGGTTTCTGAAGGCTTGGTGAGTTTACGGTCGTAAACTCAAAAACAGAGTTTACGGTCATTGAAGGCTTGGACCGTAAACTCAAGAACAGGGTTTACGGTCTTTGAAGGCGGACCGTAAACTCAAGAACAGTGGTGCTGATTTCGAAGAGATAAGTGCTCCAGACGCCCCGAAGTGACTCCAAACGGTGTTTCTCGATGTTTCCCGAACTTTGAAGGTGTTTTTAGGTGTTTACGGTCAAGGTTCTTAGAGAGAGAAGGAGAGAGTTTTCGGCCAGAAATGTTCAAATGAAGGTGGAGGTCTCGTATTTATAGGGGTTTTGTGGTCGGTGGTGGGGGGGGGGGGGTCCACTCTTTACTGGCCGTAAACTCACTTAGGCCGGAATTGATTGATTTTTCGAAATATTCGGGTTTCCGCATGATTTTTGGTTCCGACTCGTAAATAATTTAATTACATATAATTAGGTTATTGTCTAAACCAAGAAGTTTGACGGAAAAGTTAATGAATTCGAAATTTTATTAACGGAAATCGCGTAACGGAAACAGACAAGGTTTGGGGTGTCACACTAGCGAACCATATTTGTAAAATTCAACAAACCACAGGGACGAAAAATGTAAATTAACCATATTATTGTTGGTATTAGAGAGGCTTTTATATGTGTTTTATAGGTGCCTGCATTGGAGAATTCAAAATTGATGAACTTTGGGTCGAATGATCATTATCTTGAATGCATTAAATCTGCTTATGATTTTGCTAGTGGCGAATTACTAAATCTCATGAAGGACACGGTGGGGTTATTTTCATTTTTTTTTAAATCTTTTTTTTTCCTGATGGGTGCATGTTGTAGTTCTTTTAACAATATTCAGTGACCAATTATTATTTTGAATGTTGACAGTATGACCTGATTGCAAAGCTGCGTTCTATTAAGCATTATCTTCTTCTGGATCAGGTTAAATTTTGATTGTTATGTTTTTGTAGTTTAAAGTTTTTGAATTGAAATTAATAATTATATTTGATTGAGTTACAAATACAGGGTGATTTCTTGGTTCATTTTATGGATATTGCACGTGATGAACTTGATAAAACACCAAATGAGATCTCTGTTGAGAAGCTTCAGGTCTTTCTCCATTTACCTCATATTATCTAAGTAAAAAAAAACCAGAGTATATTTTGGGCAATTATTGTGATTACACCACTGATACTTTTTTCTTTCCAATCAAACCATAAAAGTTAAGATATTTTCCCAAACTAACCATTCTAATTCTCCAAATTAACCATTTTTGACCTATGGTTAAACTGGAAATATGTCTGAAACTTTAATGGTTTTTTTTATTGTAAAAAAATAAAGTAGAAATGGTTGGTTAAACTGCAAAATTGCCCAAAATATAATGTTGTTTCTGTAATTTGCCCTTATTTGTATCATCCATATGTATAGTTAGGGATAAAAGTTATCCATATATAAGAATTGAATTATCATTTCTCACTCTGTTTTTACCCATTAAGTTCTATCTGAGAAAATAAATGACATTTGTAAACAGATGACTTATAGAAAAATACTCAATTTCCTGACTTTCTTTCTGAATAAAGAGTTTGATGCTCTGAATATAATACACAAATAAATGAAAATGAAAGCACACTGCTATTTACATTTTAATCTATTTGAGTTTAATTTTCAGTCTCTGTTGGACCTTGCATTGCGTTCCACAGCAGCTGCAGCAGATCCTTTGAATGAAGATGTCACATGTTATGTGGTCAGTTTCATTTATTCCCATTACAACATAACATTCCACTTTTAGAAATAATTAATTAATTTTTTATGCCTTTTTCAGGACATAGGTTCTTTGTTAAAGAGACTGAGCATTCTGAAAGATCTTCAAACAGGTGGAGGTGGTGGTGAGACAGTTTCAGAGGCTGATGTTGTAGAGGAGCCCTTGATCACTAGTATGGAAACCTTCCCTGTTAATTACAAGGTAATTATCATTATCAACACTCCTTTAACATTTTCTTTCTTTCTTTCATTTAATGCAAGAAATAGCAACCTACTTTCATTCATTTGTTTACTATAAATTTATAACATCTTACTATCATTTATTCCTATTACAACATTCTACTTTGAAAAAATCCATTTAGTTATTTATAGCAATGTCATTCAAATACAAATCATTTTCAATATGACAATGTTATAACTGGAATTGGGGTTTTAATCTCACAAAAGACCTTATATTTTGTGTTTTTTTTTCCGGATTAAACCTCAACTTTATTTTTTCATGAAAAATACCTCTGACCCTTTTAGTCATTTTTCTCTAAAAAAAGTTGTATAATGTGAGGTTTTTTTCAGGAAAAACTAAAAAAGTCGAGGATTTATTTGGAAACATTTAGAAGGTTGAGGGTTTTTTTCGGAAAAAAAAGACAAAGTTGAGGGTTTTTTCGCAAAAAATGAAAAAATATATCATGAAAAAAATAAAGATGAGGTCTAATCCGGAAAAAACACAAAATATATGGTCTTTTATGAGATTAACCCATAAATGAAACTACTTTACTAATTATCTAATTTTTTATTTTTCTAATTATCAATTAAATGAAAGTAAGTTGTTATTTTTGTTACAGGTTCAATGGCCATTATCTCTTGTGATATCAAGAAAAGCTCTGACAAAATATCAATTAATTTTTCGATTTCTGTTTCATTGCAAACATGTTCACAGACAGCTTTGTGCAGCTTGGCAACTACATCAAGTATGAGACTAAATATCCCTGATATGAATATTTATTAAAAAAATAAAAATATCTCCTTTTAATTTTACTATTTATATTTTTTGTAATTATGATTTTCTTGTTGTTGTTGTAGGGTGCACGTGCACGTGATATGCATGGAACAGCAATCTCTACATCATCAATACTCTGCAGGAATATGCTTAAATTTATATATAGCCTTCTACATTATCTAACCTTTGAGGTAAAAGTAAAACCATGTTCTTATGTTTATAAAATAACAATGTACTTACATTTCCTTACCAATTAAGGGGCTGTTTCTTTTTGACTTGAGGAAATGGAAGTAAAAAGTAAATGAGGTAAGTACTCTCTCATGTTAGAAATTGATGAATATTCTGAATTTTTTTCGGAATGTAAGGGTAAAATGGTCATTTAGTCAGACAGATATCATTATCTGTTCAGTCACTTTACCCATACATGACTTAATGGGGCCTGAAGTCATGTCTCCATTAAGTGAAAAAGAAATATAGTCATATAATATAGAAGGTTTGTGAATTTGTTCTAATAATAATAATAAGTTTTTGGGGTGAATGCAGAAATTTGTTCTAATTATAATAATAAGTTGCTTCCTGTGGTGCTCCCCGTCTAACTGTCTCTTTATTTAGCCGCTTGCAGTTAAAGAAAAATAAATGTCGGATAGATGACATGCTGGATAACCACATGGGCAGTTCTTGAATTCCGAATCAATATATGTATAACCGAGTCAGTGAGGTGAGGTGTTGTATTTCTTCAGGTATCGACTCCATATGATCCCAACCTCTCAATTCTAACGAGTGAAGGTGGTCCCTTAACTTCTGGATGCCTTGGAGACTCGGGAAAGAATCGAACTCCTTTGAGAACGGACCAACTCTCAAATCATTTAAGAAGGCAAAACTGTCGAATGATTCATGAGGCAAGGAAGTCAGGTTGGTGCAATATCTAATATACAAAGTCTTCAAAGAATGACACTCGTTGGGCAAATTGGCTATTCCTAAAAGACTATCGCACCTGAAGATATTTAAAGATTCAAGAGATGTAAGGCCTTGTATGCTCGTAATGGACACCAGACCACTGCAATTATATATATATAAGGAAACAAGAGGATGGGGATGGCATTCATCTAACAGAATAATCTTTGGGCAATTCTCTATCACCAACTTCTCGAGGACAGGCGATATCATTTTTGAGCTGTTGGGTGCTCCATCTATCCACTTTTCCAGTCTGTACATACAATTTAGTTTGAGCGATCTCAACGATGGAGACAAAGGCTTGGTTGATCCGGTAACATCGCAACTCCTTAACCATGTCAAGTTGTCCATTCCCAATAACTCAAGTTCCCGAAGATGTGGTAGGTGCTCAAGCGTCGGAAGAGAGAGGCAGCTACTACATCCAGATAATCTAATCTCCACCAGCTTGTCAAGGGGCGTCCATTTCCCTTCAATATGGATTGCCATCTTCATCACCCAATCTGGAAAATTATCACCAGAAAAATTAATAATTGTCAATTTTTTTACATCTCGTGGGGGTTGCAAGCCTGCCAATACACCCACATCGTTTCTGTTGGCACCTCTGTCGTACTCACTCCAAATGAATTCAATCTTGTTTAAATTTTTCTTTCTATATAAGTCTGCCTTGACAGCATCCTCTTTGCTAATGACGTTCTCAAGATGTGAAATACAGAGGCTTCCAGTAAGGTTATTCAAATGGCGGAGCTCTTCAATACCATGCCCCTTCCTTCCAACCACTTTGACGGAAGACAGTTTTCGAAGATAAATCAACTGTCCCAGGACATAGGTGGGAATATCTTTATCACACATGAAATACCGCAGGCTTATCAAATTTCTCATGGCTTCTGGAAACTTGAGATCATCACAACCTTGCAACTTCAGAGTTTGCAAGTGGTATAATTTACCAATCGATTCAGGAAGCACACTGATCCTGGTAAATGACAAATCAAGATACCTGAGATGCACCAACCCTCCAATTGAATCGTCTAACATCTCAATACTAAATCCGTTGAGTTTTAGGATGCGTATGCACTTTAATCCTTGAAATGAAAATTTCTTCTTGACTTCAACTTTGATAAACAATGTATGCAAAGTTCTAGCCACTGTATTCCTTTCAATCAACATAGAAACCTTGGCTTTGAAATTATCATCCTCGTTCTGTTGGTAAAAAGCGAGATGTTTAACCTGAGGGATACATGCAATGTCATCATTTGTTGCATCCACCAGACAAAAGCTTTCATGTTTTGAAAGTGATAATGAAAGATCATGCACCAGATCATGCATGCTACAATGACTGATGTTACCATACTCATCCCTTTCAACATCTTGGAACAACGAATTGCTGACCAAAATTTGAAAAATATCATTCCCCACATCCTCCATCTCCTTGTTTCTTTCCTCATCCGCTTGAACCAACCCTAAAGCCATCCAAAGTTGAACCAGTTCTTCCCTTTTCATGACCTTATCTTTCTCAAAGATGAAACAATATGTGAAGCATTTGTTGAACACGACTCTTTATATGGGAAACAACAAGACTTTTATTAAGACGCTTAAGAAGATCTTACACTTTGTGAGACTACTACACACTTTGCTTTCTTTGAGGCTTTCTAGGATACTTGGATGTTGGGATTGATTTGGAGCAAATGAGCTCCATACCTATTTATAGGTGTTTCCACCTCCTTATAGGAAGTTTCTAGATCTACATACATTCATGACTATTCTAGAACTATCTACCATATTCTATATTAATTACAAGCTTTTATATGTTTCTAGAATATTCTATAATGTCCTAGATAAGTATAGACATTCTTGTGCCTTCCATAGTGTTCTAGAATGTTCCATAGCCTTCCAGGGTCTTCCATCTCATTCTAGAGTATTCTAGAATCTTCTGGCATCTTCTAGACTTCTCCATAGAATTCCATAATGTTCTAGAATCTTCCAGATCATTCTAGAACATGCTAACTTCTTCTAGACAATAACATGATTCTATCAGGCTAGTGATGACCTTCAACACTCCCCCTCAGCACTAGCCCCCATTCTTCGTATCATGTTGAGCTGACATCTAAAACCTTCACTTTTTCCTTTACTTAGCCCTTTGGTGAATAATTTCGCTATTTGTTTATCAGTCTTGATCTGTCGCATATTGACTTCTTCCTTGAGAACTTTTTCTCTTCCACATGCTTGGTTTTTTCTTAGTTGTTGTAGTCGTTGCTTCGTATATTGTTTTCGTAGTTGACAACGACATTCGTGGTTGCATTTTCTTGCAGCATAATATTGTTCCTGACTTTGTTGAACTGTCTTGTGTAGTTTCTTATGCCTCCCTTTGAGAAACTTGTAAGCATGTGAGTTGTCCCTTTTACAAGCTTTGGAAAATTTCCACAATATTAACATGTTATGACGTGATCCCTTATTGATCTGCTCATCTTGTTTAGATGTTGCTCTGTTGAGAAATTCTACTTTGCTCTTACGAATTAATGTGTTTTTCTTCTTTTTCGCCTTATCCAGTTTCTCCATCACATGTTCCATTTTTCGTCTAAGATGAGACTTTTTATGCAACTCTAGTGATGTCATGTTATTATTCTCCTTCGGAGCATCCATCTTCCAATGAACGTCTTCCTCCTCCAAAGTTGTCATAAACTTTGTCTCGCTCTTCTTGAGACCTTTGTTGAGTTTCATAGTTGATAGCATTCGGGATCCAATCATATTCCTCTTCAAGGGTACAATGTGAATTATTGAACCCTTGGTGATACGCATGATATCATCTCTCTCAAATGACCAGGGTCGTACGTTGTCTAGGAAATCCATTCCCAATACCATACGACAGTCATCCATATGCACCACTGTCAAGTCTATGGTGCCTTCCCATTCTGCTATCTTAAGAGGTACTCCATATGCAACACCAATGATAGGCTTGGATAAAGAGTTGACGACTTTCAACCGGCCTGGATTTTTGGTGTATTTGATGCCCAACTTTTTAGCTTCATCTTTAGCAAGGAAATTATGAGATGCACCTGTATCTACCAAAGCGTTGGTGTATCCTCCATTTACCCTGACATCCACGAACATTAGCCTTCCTCTTTTAGTCTTATTCTCTTCTATAGCACATAGTGCCTCAACATCCCATTCATCCTCTACTTCCTTTTTGGAAGTTACTACATTGTTTTCCACAGACTTTTTCTTTGACCAACAATCCTTGGACATATGGCCCCACTTTCCACAATTGTTGCAGTTGCCTTCGAACCTCCTCCCCCAAGAACTCTTATTGTCGGTCTTTTGAGATCTCCATGGTTGTGAGGTTCCTTGCTGACTCTTCCCTTTGTCAGCATTTTTGTATCCTTCTTTAGAAGGTGGCTTGAAATTCCTTCGACTTTTACTTGTGTAGAGTGCTTCTTCTTCACTCTTCAGCGTGATGCCTCCCATTTGCTTAGCCATAGCTTCTTGGCTGGCCAACAAATTCTCAAACTCTACAAGTGATGGTTGAACGGGCCATCCTTGTACAGCAGTAACAAAGCTTCTATATTCCGGCCTCAGTCCATGGATAATGATCCTCTTCATTCGAGCTTCTGCAATGACGGATTGCGGATCTAGTTCAGTATCTCCCGACATATTGACTTGACCTTGTGGAAATATTGAGCAATCGTCATGTCACGTTGTGAGATTGATAATAGCTCGTTCTCCAAAAGTTGTAGTCTCGTATCATTCTTCTTTGAGAAAAGCGTCACAAACGTGTCCCAAGCTTCTTTCGGGGTGTTCTCATCCCGAATATGCTCCAACATCTCTTCTTCGATTGTGGTCTTCAAGGCAAACATTGCTTTGCCTGCTTTGATTTTCCATTTACGTAAAGCACCATTAACGTCTTCCTCTGGTGGCGTAGTTTCGCTTCCACCAACGACCTCCCATAGATCTTGTCCTTGTAAGTAGGACTTCATACATGTTTCCCACGTTTTGTAGTTGTTGTTGTTGAGTTTCTTGATTCCTCCGACGACTTGGAGATCACCCATCGTGTTGGCAGTACCTCGGTAATACCAAACAAGCTAGTTTCGATACTAAACTTGCAGAGTCACAAACTACTCACGATACAACGAGAATCACTCGTTCTCACTATCAAGAAACCTTGCTCTGATACCAGATTGTTGAACACGACTCTTTATATGGGAAACAACAAGACTTTTATTAAGACGCTTAAGAAGATCTTACACTTTGTGAGACTACTACACACTTTGCTTTCTTTGAGGCTTTCTAGGATACTTGGATGTTGGGATTGATTTGGAGCAAATGAGCTCCATACCTATTTATAGGTGTTTCCACCTCCTTATAGGAAGTTTCTAGATCTACATACATTCATGACTATTCTAGAACTATCTACCATATTCTATATTAATTACAAGCTTTTATATGTTTCTAGAATATTCTATAATGTCCTAGATAAGTATAGACATTCTTGTGCCTTCCATAGTGTTCTAGAATGTTCCATAGCCTTCCAGGGTCTTCCATCTCATTCTAGAGTATTCTAGAATCTTCTGGCATCTTCTAGACTTCTCCATAGAATTCCATAATGTTCTAGAATCTTCCAGATCATTCTAGAACATGCTAACTTCTTCTAGACAATAACATGATTCTATCAGGCTAGTGATGACCTTCAACAGCATTGCTTAGCCATAGAGTTGGGAAGATTATCAAAGCTCAGTTCCAAACTTTTTTGAACTCTCTCCCTTTCATCTTCTAGATCCCAAACTTCGCTATTTTTGATGGCCAACCACTTCTCAGGGTCACTGTAATTTTTCAACATACCTCCTATTACATTTAATAGCAAAGGCAAACCACAACACTTTTTGGCAATATCACGCCCTATCTCCTCCAATTCAGGTTGTGGTGATTGTCCTGCTAAAAAGGCCCTCTCTTTAAAGATATTCCAACAATTATCATTAGAAAGACCTTTTAAAGAACATGCATCCATTGACATAGCCTTAGTTCCGATGTCAAGTTTCCTGGTAGTGACAAGAACGCCACTTCCAATTTGTGACTTCACATTTATCATAACTCTCCTAAAATCTTCCCAATATAATCTCTCTTCGTTCCAAACATCATCCAGGACTAGAAAGTATCTTTTTGCTCCCAACTTGTTTTCAAGATCTCGAACTAAATTGACCATTGTTTCCGACTTAGGTTTCTCTCCTGCAATAGATTCATAGATCTTTGCCAGAAGTGTGTTCATGTCAACCTTAATCGACACACACAACCAAGCTTTCACATCAAAATGTTGTTGGATTTTTGGATTATTGAAGACGGACTTAGCCAGAGTGGTCTTCCCTATCCCGCCCATTCCCACAATAGGAACAATCGTAAGTTTTTCTTCTTTTCTTGCCTCGGTTAAAAGGTGTATGATGCGCTCTTCATCATCCTCCCTCCCAACAATTTTGAATTCGCCTAAATTTGGATCTGTCTCCGGGTAGGGTCGATATTGAACAACAGGGCCACGCTGTTCATTTTGTAGTCCCAACTCATTAGCATCCTTATTGATTTGAGACAACTTTTCGTTAATGTTTTTGATTTTATGACCCATTTCACTACGAAAGAAAAGCTTTTTCAAGTTTGGGAGAGAGGGTACCTTTATTGCCACCCGATCTCGATTCTTTACCTCACGCCTCAACATTTCATAGTGAACCTCGTCCACCACATCATCAGCTTCACCAACAACATCTTTTAGCTGTTTCAGCCACTCCATCACACCATGTTTTTGACCTTTCTGGTTCTCGGCATCCTGTAACTTGGCACGAATCATTTTCAAGGTCCCTTCAAGTGTGTACAACTTCTCTTTGTAACCCCAAGCAAGGGCGATTTCATTGGCAGCTATGGATGCTACCTTTTTCAGGATCGCCTCGGCAGCAACAGTAACTAAAGCGTCGGCCATTTTCAAATTTCAATGGTGTGTGTATGTGTGTTTGAGATAGGAGAGATAGAAAGACAGAGAGAGGGTGAAATACAAGCTCACAGAAATCAGGGCAATCCTATATGTATGGTTAGGAATAAAAGTTATCCATATATAAGAATTATTGTTTCTCTTTCTAGCCATTAAATTCTCTAAGGATAACTAAAAGAATCTGTGAAAAAGGAAGGAAAAAATAAATGAGGGCATATTTTGTTATCCATCCACAGAATTTTATAGTTAGTTGACAATTATGCCCTTAGTTTAAATTAAGAGATATTGGAGAGAGAGAAACCCAAGGATTTACTTCCAAACTCACGACGCTCCTTCTTCCTCAGTAGGCGCCGTGGCAATCTTTCTACAGAGCTGCCTAACCAATCTGCCATGTCAAATAAATCTCATTCGCTAATCCATCATTCATGTCACAAGGAATGCCACATGTATATGTCGATAATACACAACAAAATTGTTTCATAATACAGGATTGAGGAACACAAAGAGACGTCTTCACTCTTCTAGTTCCAACATCCCAATTCGTTTATGTTGGTTCATATTAGTTCTTTTATGTTCAATTATATTTTATTACATAAGTATATTATATGTTTGTTTATGCTTATAGATGTTCAATTATATTTGTTTATAATATGCTTGAATTAGTATCGAATAACATATCTTCATTTTTTTAATAGAAGGGTATAGTAACGAGATATCTTCATTTACTAACAAAAGGGTATAGTGCATAAAACTAGCTGCAGACACACGCCTCAATACATCTTTAAAATGTCCATGGTGGCTTTTACGTTAATGACTTCATATTTGTTTGCAAGAGTCATCTAGTCGCATAAGATATAACAGAAACTAATTCTAAACAGTACTGGTATCTAAAGCATTCATGATGACTTTTTAAACTGGAAAATTTCTTTAAGAAATCAACCAATCAATATGTTAATTCCAGTCTTAGTTTTTTACTTTGAAAAATCTTTTTGACCAGACCAGACTTTTCAGAACTCTTCGTGGGCATACTGCTTCAGTTCAAAGCCTTGCATCACAGCCTAATGGCAATTTGGTAATTTTTTCTTTTTCTCAATAATCTTTAATGATTTACATTGTTGCCACTATCTCACCTCTCTCCTCCATTACAGATATGTTCAGGTTCTTGGGAATGCAGAATCAACGTGTGGCAAACAGAGTGTAATGAAGCAGCTATTGTATCAGTAAAGAAAAGGAAAAAAGGGAACAAGGAAGAAGAATCTCAATCAAAGGTATATTTTTATATTTTAATTTATATTTTCATTAAGTTTATTGATAATTTGGTTAAAAAATAAATATAGGGGGAGGCTGTATCTACACTTGTGGGCCATACTCAATGTGTATCTTCAGTTGTTTGGCCTGAATATGGAACAATTTATTCAGCATCATGGGATCGGTGCACATCCCATTATGGTACATGAGATGTTGATGGTTTATTTAGATGTTTTTTTTTTCAATATAATCCAAGGTTTTTTCCCCTTGGTTATGGGTTACCTAAGAACATCCATGATAAAATGGTAGACTTTTTTTGTTGAGCTTTTTCGTGACGCATCTCATCAATTTAAAAAGCTCAAAATGCCTCCACATTTGGAATTTTTTTAATCAAATAATGGGACCTATAAGTCCTGTTTTTGTTGTTTTATTGTTGTTTGTAGAAGTTTTTGTTTATATTTGGTTGAAAAAACATATATATATATATATATATATATATATATATATATATATATATATATATATATATATATATATAGAACATACTATATTTATTAAAGAAGTTCGTGATATGAACTATTTAAAAAATGTATTTGATTGGATAAGTTTGTCATATTTGTTTTCCTTACATTCAAAAGTTATTTGATCTCGTAAACAATTAAAATACTTATATCGTGGACATGTTCTGTTATTTATAATATATATCTTTACTACTTTGACCTGTAATAGGTAAATTGATTATTTCTCTAGAACATGAAACAAAGTGGTTCTCTAATTAAGTGAATCCAATAAAAATAAATTAATCAATTATAATTGTGTCAGGTCGGGTCGTAGACCTTAAAAACTGAACTGAATAATTTAACCAGTTAAACCGAAAACCTATCAGGTCACCAATATTGATTCAAAAACTTAAACAAATTGGTTGCAATTATACAGAAGAAACTGTGTGGTTTAGTGAAAAACTGGCTAAACCAATAGCATATACCGGTAAAAAAATCTACTATATTTTATCAATTTAAAGTTAGGCACAAGGAACATGTATAAACTAGATATATAATTTAAAGTTACAATTTCATAGCACACCTGTGTTATATACTTCAACTGAATCTCCGCAGTTGACAAAGAATGCACACTTGCATTTGCATACAAACTTCTATAAACCCCCAAAAGAAAATCCATCCCAGATGTTTACATCTATAAACATATTGAATGGATTCTCTCTCATCAACCCTCATAACACTACTTACAAGATTATAATAATAACTAAAAATTTATAAAATTTAATATAATTTGGTTGGTTCAGATTGGATTTGAATATAATTTGTATTAATTATTTGGATTCACGCCTTGAAAACCGAAATCAATTGGTTTCACTTGGTTGGATTGGATTGCAGACTGATCCATCTAAACGAAGAATATGTGACTCTGGATTGATATGGGAACAACTTTTAATAACTTCTGATATCCTCAGCCACCTCCAACTTTTAGCACTTGTCAGCATCAGCCCCTTTGGTTTATTCTGTGGCCCTCAAATTCTTTAGATTAACAGGCCAAGAGCTTAACTTTAGCTTAATGACCAATTACTAAAAGTAAAACCTGCATTAATCAACTTGCAGAAACCTTTCCAAGTTAATAACACAAATAAAATGGACATTTAATCATTGTTAAGATTGCATGACAGGGTAAGTACAGCAAATTATATAGTACAAATCGGTTAGAATGGAAGAGAGCCATCAGCAAATTAAGCACAGGTAAAAGTTGCAATATTGGCTGATCAATTGGGATTACAAGTCAGATGGTAGCTGTATGTTACAAGTGAGAAGAATTTTGTGATATTAAGTATAAAGTGTAAGTATCAGATTTATAAAATGTTTTGACTTTTACCCATCTTTTGTACTTGTCTCTATACTTGAACAAGACAAATGTTTGGGTACAATTTGGATCGCAAGGGAGGAGAAAGTTAGAAGAGTTTATTACTTTATTATTAAGCAAGAGCCAAGAGGAGGAATGATCTGACTGATACAACATATCTAATCTATATATACACCAACCAACACACTCAAATAACTAATTAATTAACACTTTTCATAATTTAGTGTGACATCAGTTGCTTCCCGTGGCGCTCCCCGTCTAACCGTTTCTTTATTTAGCCCCTTGCAGTCATCGAACCACAAATCTCGGATAGATGACATGTTGGTTAACCACATGGGCAGTTCTTGTATTCCGAATCCATCTATTTCTAACCAAGACAGTGAGGTGAGGTGTTGTATTTCTTCAGGTATCGACTCCCAATGATCCCAACCTTTCAAATTTAATGAGTGAAGGTGGTCCCTTAACTTCTCGATGCCTTGGAGACTTGGGAAAGAATTGAGCTCCTTTGAGAACGGACCAAGTACCAAATGGTTTAAGCAGGCAAAACAGTCAAACATTTTCTGAGGCAAGGAAGTCAGTTTGTCGCAATGGATAATTTGCAAAGTCTTCAAAGAATGACACTGGTTGGGTAAATTGGTTATTTCTAAAAGACTAGGACAATGGCCGATCATTAAACTTTTAAGAGATTTGAGGCCTTGTATGCTTTTAATGGACACCAGACCTGTGCAAAATCCAATCTCTAAATAAACAAGAGGATGGGGATGGCATTCATCTAAAATAATAATCTTTGGGCAATCTAAAATGGACAAGCTCTGGAGGACAGGAGATATCATTTTTGAGATGTTGGGTGCTCCATCTATCCACTTTTCCAGTCTTTTCATATCTAAAAGTGCGAGCGATCTCAACGATGGAGACAAAGGCTCCGTTGATCCAGTAACATCGGAACTCTTTAAAAATGTCAACTTGTCCATAAACCATAACTCAAGATCCTGAAGATGTGGTAGGTGCTCAAGCGTCGGAAGAGAGAGGCAGCTCCTACATCCATCTAATTTGATCGACATGAGCTTGTCAAGGGTCATCCATTTCCCTTCAATATTGATTGCCATCTTCATTACCCATTCTGCAAAATTATCACCTGAAAAATTCTTAATTGTCAACTTTTTCACATCTTTAGGGGGTTGCAAGCCTTCCAATACATCCTTGTCGTTTCGGTTGGCATCTTCATCATCTGTGGAAGTTTCCTTCAAACTTCAACATTGGATGGTTTCTAGAATACCATTCTACACATGTGGTTTTAATTTGTCAAGAATGGGTGGTAGCATGTTTGTGAAGAATGGATGGTAGCATGTTTGTCAAGCTTGGATGGTAATAGACAATTGAATTCATACATTCATTTGCCTATAAAAGGAAATGAAACCAAGTTTATTAAAAACACCACACCTCAAATTACATCTTCATCTTTCTCTCATATTCATACAAATATATATTTGATATATTTGTTTTTCTTTCCTCTATCTCTGTAAACACTGAATATTATAGTAAATTGGTTCTCGGCTTCCTCCGCCCGTGGTTTTTCCCGATTTGGGTTTCCACGTAAATATCGCGTGTTTTTTCTTTTTATCGTTCGATTTATTCTTGGTTGATTATTCAAATAGTTTTATATTCCGTTGAATCGCTATCGTAATATTTGGGTTTTATACTTCGATCTTGAAGTTATCGATTATTTATTGTAGTCGATTTGTCTACAATTGGTATCAGAGCTATCCGGGTTTTCCGATAACGATTCGTAAAAACTATTTTCAACCATGTCATCGATGAAGTACGATATTCCTTTACTTGACAGAAACACAATATTCCCTCTCTGGCAAGTAAAGATGAAAGATGTGTTGATCCAAATGGATCTCCACAAAGCACTATTAGGAATGGAGAAAATGCCGGCAACTTGGTCGACTGAGGAAAAGGAGATGAAAGATCTGAAGGCGTCGTCGCAGATCCGTCTGCATCTTTCTAACGACGTTCTCCAAGATGTGTTGAAAGAGACATCCGCAGCGGCTCTCTGGCTAAAACTCGAGCAACTACTTATGACGAAAAGCTTGCCCAACAAGCTACACTTGAAGCAACGACTTTTTAACCTAAAGATGGGTGAAGGTAGTTCTTTGTCTGATCACCTCTCTACCTTTAAAGAGCTTGTAGGAAATCTGGAGAATATGGACGTCAAATACGAAGATGAAGACTTGGCGTTATTTTTATTATCTTCTCTCCCAGACTCCTACGATCACTTTCGTGACACCATTATCTATTCTCGGGACACTCTTGTCCTTGACGAGGTAATGACTGCTCTTGATTCAAAGGAAAAGATAAAGCAGATAGTTGGGAACAGTTATTGCCACAAGAAGGGACATCTGATCTCCACATCAGAGGGAGACCTAACGAGAGAGGTAGCTCTTCACAAAACCGATCTAGATCTAAGTCCAAAGCCAATCGCAAGTATTGCAATTATTGCCACAAGAAGGGACATCTGATCGATGAATGTTTCAAGTTAAAGAACAAGGAGAAAGCGAAGGCAATCGCAAAGGGAAAAACAACCAATAACACCGTTGAAGCCGATGTTGCCGAAACTGGTTCCGATGGCGAGCTTCTATCCGTTTCAGACTACGGTTTAATGACCACGAGTGAGTGGGTACTTGATTCAGCGTGTACTTTTCATATGAGCTCCAACCGAAGCGTTTTTCATTCATATGAAAAGGTTAACGAAGGCCACGTTCTAATGGGTAACGACACTTCGTGTCGTATTATTGGACGGGGTACACTCAGGTTCCGCATGTTCGATGGCGTTGTTCGAACGATTCAAGATGTAAAGCACGTATCCGGTCTTAGGCGAAATTTACTAAGTCTCGGTACTTTCGAGAAGAAAGGTTACGAGTTTGTTGGCAAAGACGGGAAACTCCATATTTTCAAGGAAGGTTCTGTGGTCATCCGAGGAGTTAGAAAATCCGCAAACCTTTACATTATGGATGGGCAAGTTATCTCCGGCGAAGTCTCGGTATGTTCTAAATCCCTCTCCAATGTTGATCGCTCTCGTCTATGGCACCTCAGGCTCGCTCACATGTCATATCATGGTATGAATGAACTAAGTCGAAGGGGGTTGCTCGGGGAGCACAAATCAATCAAACTTGAATTCTGTGAAGATTGTGTATTTGGAAAGCAGAAGCGAGTGAGTTTTATCGGTGGCAAACATACGACGAAAGGGCCACTTGACTACATACACTCTGATTTATGGGGACCAGCGAAGGTTACATCGAAAGGTGGAGCCTCTTATATGCTCACGATCATTGACGATTTCTCAAGAAAGGTATGGTCGTTCTTCTTGAAGTCAAAGGGAGAAGTATTCCAAACTTTTAGAGATTGGAAAGTATTGGTTGAAAAGCAATCAGGTTTTGAAGTGAAATACCTTCGTACTGATAATGGACTGGAATTCTGTTCTGAAGAATTCAACTCCTATTGCCGTAGGGAAGGAATTACGAGGCATCGCACCGTAGTTCATACACCACAGCAGAACGGCGTAGCGGAACGTATGAACCGCACCATCATGGAGAAGGTCCGATGCATGCTATCTCATTCAAAGTTGCCGAAGTCTTTTTGGGCCGAGGCCGCTTCAAGCGCATGCTACATTATCAACTGTTCCCCTTCTCATGCTATTCAAAAGAAGACCCCATTTGAGCTTTGGTCCGGCCAACCTGCTGATTACACGAAATTGATTCCATTTGGATGTCCAGCATATGCCCGAGTTGATAACGGTAAATTGGAACCGAGGGCAATTAAATGCGTCTTTCTCGGATATCCGACAGGTGTTAAAGGGTTCAAATTATGGAGCCCGGAGCTAAGCAAGGTTTTGACATCTAAAGATGTGACCTTCGATGAAAAAGCCATGCTTCATCCTGTCTCCAACATTCAGACCAGAGAAAATGAAAATTCGGAAAAAGACAAAGTTCGAGTGGAGGTGGAGTTTCCTTTAAATTCATCTTTCGAGGACCAGTCTCTTGAAGGTGTCGAGGTTTCTCAACCCTCGAATAATCAACATTCCTCTTCTCATGAGCCAGCCGAAGCTCCAAGCCAACCTCACAGTCCCTCCATTGCAAGAGATAGACCTCGCAGACAGATTGTACCTCCAAAGAGATATGTTCAAGCCAATTCTGTCGCTTATGCACTTACAGTTGCCAATGAAGTTGAGTCTGTTCTGGAGCCCACAAGCTACAACGAGGCCATTCAATCCAAACATTCTAATAAGTGGATGGTTGCCATGCACGAGGAGATGGAATCTCTTCAGAAAAATGGCACATGGGATCTCGTTCCAGCTCCAAAGGGTAAGAAGACAGTTAAGTGCAAATGGGTCTACAAGTTGAAGGACTCTATCCACCCTGGTGGCAAACCAAGATATAAAGCTCGTTTGGTAGCCAAAGGCTACAGTCAGATCCCAGGTATCGATTATACCGACATTTTCTCTCCGGTTGTGAAACACACGTCAATACGTGTCTTGTTGGGATTAGTTGCCTCTCATGACTATGAGTTAGAGCAACTTGATGTTACTACAACATTCTTAAATGGTGTGCTTGAGGAAGAGATATATATGCAACAACCTGAAGGTTTTGTAGCTCCTGGCAAGGAAAGCTACGTGTGCAAATTAAAGAAGTCTCTTTATGGCCTCAAGCAATCTCCGCGACAATGGTATAAAAGGTTTGACTCATTTATGACCAGTCACAAGCTGAAAAGGTGCACCTACGACAACTGCGTTTACTACAAAAAGTGTGACGATGGTTCAATGGTCTATCTACTTTTATACGTGGATGACATGTTAATTGCAGCGAAGAATATAAAGGAGATTCAAAAGATAAAAGACCAGTTGAATGCTGAGTTCGATATGAAGGACTTGGGTGCTGCCAAGAAAATTCTAAGAATGGAAATAGTGCGAGACCGTAGTGCAAGAACTCTATACCTTTCTCAACAAAGCTACATTGAGAAGGTTCTGCACCGTTTCAATATACATGACGCAAAAGAAGTCAGCACTCCTTTCGCAGCCCACTTCAAGCTATCATCCGCCTTAAGTCCTACCACCGAAGAAGATATAGCATACATGGCAAAGGTACCATACTCCAGCGCTGTAGGATCTCTTATGTATGCTATGATTTGGACACGTCCAGATTTGTCATATGCGGTAAGCATGGTGAGCAGATACATGGCGAATCCAGGAAAGGAGCATTGGGTTGCTGTTAAATGGATTTTTCGCTACTTGCGAGGTACTTCCTCTTTATGTCTGCGGTTTGGAAAAACCGATAATGGAGTACTTGGTTATGTGGATTCCGATTATGCAAAGGACTTGGATAAAAGACGATCGATTACAGGGTACGTGTTTACTTTGGGTGATTGCGCAGTTAGCTGGAAAGCGCAGTTACAATCTACTGTAGCGTTATCCACCATCGAAGCCGAATACATGGCTGCTACGGAAGCAGTGAAGGAAACCCTCTGGTTGAAACGGTTGATAGGTGAGCTTTCAAACAAGTTATCTGTTAACATTGTTTTTTGTGACAATCAAAGTGCAATATTTCTGACGAAGGATCAAATGTTCCATGATCGAACGAAGCATATTGATGTTCGTTATCACTTCATCAGAGATGTTATTGCTAAAGGCGATATTACAGTAAACAAGATCAACACCAATGATAATCCTGCTGATATGTTCACTAAAAGTCTTCCAATAGCCAAATTCAAAGCATGTTTGGATTTGGTGGGTGTTTCAGATCGCATTTGAGCCTGATAGGCTCGTGGTGGAGGAAGTATATTTACTTTTCGAAATCAATTTTTTCTCATATGGTGTTTGCAGATTCTTATAGAGATTTGGAGTATGATGAGCTGTTGATAAACTGTTTTGCATGATCATTGTGCAAGTTAAAGTTTTTTTCATCCTGTCTCATTTGAAGTCAAGGTGGAGATTGTGGAAGTTTCCTTCAAACTTCAACATTGGATGGTTTCTAGAATACCATTCTACACATGTGGTTTTAATTTGTCAAGAATGGGTGGTAGCATGTTTGTGAAGAATGGATGGTAGCATGTTTGTCAAGCTTGGATGGTAATAGACAATTGAATTCATACATTCATTTGCCTATAAAAGGAAATGAAACCAAGCTTATTAAAAACACCACACCTCAAATTACATCTTCATCTTTCTCTCATATTCATACAAATATATATTTGATATATTTGTTTTTCTTTCCTCTATCTCTGTAAACACTGAATATTATAGTAAATTGGTTCTCGGCTTCCTCCGCCCGTGGTTTTTCCCGATTTGGGTTTCCACGTAAATATCGCGTGTTTTTTCTTTTTATCGTTCGATTTATTCTTGGTTGATTATTCAAATAGTTTTATATTCCGTTGAATCGCTATCGTGATATTTGGGTTTTATACTTCGATCTTGAAGTTATCGATTATTTATTGTAGTCGATTTGTCTACATCATCGTTCCCACTCCAATTGAATTCAATATTGTACAAGTTTTTCTTTCTAGATAAATTTGCATTGACAGCATCCTCTTTGCTCCTAACATTTTCTAAACTGGAAATACAGAGGCTTCCAGTAAGGTTATTCAAATGGCGTAGCTCTTCAATACCATGTCCTTTCCTTCTAAGCACTTTGACGGAAGACAGTTTTCGAAGATAAATCAATTGTCCCAGGACATAGGTGGGAATATCTTTATCACACATGAAATACCGCAGGTTTATCAAATTTCTCATGGCTTTTGGAAACTTCTTGAGAACATTGCAGCCTTGCAACTTCAGAGTTTGCAAGTGGTATAATTTACCAATCGATTCAGGAAGAACACGGATCCTTGTATATGTCAAATCCAGATACCTGGGATGAACCAACCCTCCAATTGAATCGTCTATCTTCTCAATACTAAATCCTTTGAGTTTTAGGATGCGTATGCATTTCAATCGTTGAAATGAAAACTTCTTCTCAACTTCACCTTTGATGAACAATGTATGCAAAGTTCTAGCCACTGCATTCCTTTCAATGAACATAGAAACCTCCGCTGCCAATTTATACTTCTGTTCTTGGTAAAAAGCGAGATGTTTAACCTGAGGGATACATGCAATGTCATCATTTGTAGTATCCACCAGACATAAGCTTTCATTTTTCGAAAGTGATAATGAAAGATCATGCACCAGATCATGCATGCTACAATGACTGATGTTACCATACTCATCCCTTTCAACATCTTGGAACAACGAATTGCTGACCAAAATTTGAAAAATATCATTCCCCACATCCTCCATCTCCTTGTTTCTTTCCTCATCCCCTTGAACGAACCCTAAAGCCATCCAAAGTTGAACCAGTTCTTCCCTTTCCATGAGTGTATCTTTCTGAAAGATGGAACAATATGTGAAGCATTGCTTGGCCAAAGAATTGGGAAGATTATCAAAGCTCAGTTCCAAACTTTTTTGAACTCTCTCCCTTTCATCTTCTAGATCCCAAACTTTGCTACTTTTGATGGCCAACCACTTCTCAGGGTCACTGTAATGTGCCAACGTGCCACCTATTACATTTAATAGCAACGGTAAACCACCACATTTTTGTACAATGTTGCGGCCTATCTTCACCAGTTCCGGGGACGCTGAAGTGCCTGCCACAAACGCTCTTTCTCTGAAGATGTCCCAACAATGATCGTCAGAAAGACCTTTTAAAGGACAGGAATCCATGTGCATATCATGAGTTCCGATTTCAAGTTTCCGTGTAATGACAAGAATGCCACTTCCATTTTGTGAGCTTACATTTAGCATACAGCTCCTAAACTCTTCCCAATATGGCCTCTCTTCAACCCAAACGTCATCCAAGACAAGCAAATATCTTTTTGATGCCAACTGCTCTTTACGACTTTCAATTAAATTGGCCCTTAAGTCCGATGTAGGTTTCTTTTTTGCAAGAGATTCGTAGATCTTTGCAAGAAGTGTATTGATGTCAGCCTTAACTGACACACACAACCATGCTTTAACATCAAAATGTTGCTCAATCTTTTTATCATTGTACACGGACTTAGCCAAAGCGGTCTTCCCAATCCCGCCCATTCCCACAATGGGAACAATGCTAAGTTTTTCTTCTTTTCTTGATTGGGTTAAAAGTTCAATGACATGGAGTTTATCATCATCCCTCCCAACAATTTTAAATTCTTCTTGATTTGGAACAGTTTCTCTCCAATAGAGACGATCTAGAACAGGGCCAGCAGGGTGTTCATTTTGTAGTCCTAAACTGTTTGCTTCTGTATTGATCTTAAGCAACTTTTCATGGATGTTTTGGATTTTATGACCTATTTTATAACGAAAGGAAAACCTTTTCAAGCTTGGAAGGCACACTACCTTTCTTGCCATCCGATCTTGTTTCTTTATCTGACGCCTCAGCATTTCGTAATCAACCTCATCCAACACATCATCAGCTTCACCCACAACATCTTTTAGCTGCTTCAGCCACACCATCACAACCTCTGATTCCTTTTTTCGCTCCGCATCACGTAACTTGGCATGAATCAGGTCCAATGTTCTGTGAAGGCTGGTCAGCTTTTCTTTGTAACCCCAGGCAATGGCGAGTTCACCCGCAGCAATAGACAACACTTTTTTCAATATCCCTTCAGCAGCAATAGTGACTAATGCTTCAGCCATTTTCACTGTTTATAAGAGAGAGGAAGAGGGGATGAATGGTGGAAGAAAGATAGAAAACGATAAGAATCTATGAGATAGTGGAACAAAGAGAGACCCAATGAATGGAAATGGAAATTCATTTGTTGGCGTGTGTAGTGGAAAATGGTATCGAATCAGAATTGAAGGTGTCTACTAAGTACTAATTAAGTTATACATTTCCTAAGTTACAAGTTTAGAACATACACTTTCCTAATTTCCTTTTCATTTCTTTTGTTTTTTCCTTTTGTCATTATTACTTATCTAAAATATTAATATAGCATTATATTTTATGTCTTAAAAGTTAATATATAATGTTTCATAACTAGAATTGATCTTTGTAACTGGTTTATTTTCATTTACCTTTTGTCCTTTTGATATACCTCTATATTGTAATATGATATGTAAACATATCTTTCCATTTTAATCCCTACATTTCTTTATACGGGTGGAATACTTTTTTCTTATATGGAACATCGAAATTTTTGTAATAATTGTGACAATGAGAATATAACTAAGATAAAATTACATAAATGGTCCCTATGAAATCCAAAATTTGCATATATCGTCCCTAACTTTTTTGCTTGATAAGGATGATCTATGTCGTTTTAATTTCTTATGTAGTTGGTCTGTTTCATTTTATTACAAGTTTGATCCAAAATTATTGTTTTACCCCTTTTTATTGGTTTTGATTTTTTATGGACTATACAAGCATTTCTTTTGGATTTGTTTATCAGTTCGAATATCTCTTCCCTCCACAAATAAATGGTGGCTCTGTATTTCACATTGTGTTGGTGTGTAGTTTGTTTTTTCTTTGTGTTTGTGATCATTGATCATGTGAAGTATTGGATGAAACTCGGTTGCCTTTGAGATTTGGACTCAAATTTTGAAGGTGGTGTCTTTGATAGTGTTGTGACCGGAAAGAAGATGATGAATGGTGGAGGGTGGGGTGGGTACAAGGGTATGGGGATGGTGGGGTCCTATTTTTATTATTAACATAAATCAGAAATAAATAGAAGAAAATGATAATAAATATTCAAAAGGGTAAAGTAGTCATTTTATAGTAAGAAATTGAAACCACATGGACCATCTTCTTCTCCAATATGTCATTTTATAGCAGCCCTACTTGCTTTTTATGTTGTCTTATATCTACTATTGCTTCAAATAGAAAGTAAGTTTCTATAAATTGACTAAAATATTCTGCTTTTCTCATTTTATAGATATGTACTCTTCGTTTATGTCATTTTATAACAGTGTGCTTTCTGTTTATGTCTTCTTATAGCTAGTGTGGCTTTAAGCAGAAATTAGGTTCCTATATATAAATTGAGTAAAATATTTTATTTATGTTACTAAATAGCAATGTACTTTTCATTTATGTCATTTTATAGCATCCTACTTTCCATATAGGCCATCTTATGACTTATCAGGAAATACTCAATTTCCTACCTTTCTCTTTATTAAGTCATTCTTTCTGCATAAAAGGTTTGATGCTATAACTATAATACACAAATAAATGAAAATGAAACTACACTGCTATTTTTTATTTTTTATTTTGTAAAATTTACGTTTTCATTTATTTGAGTTTCATTTTCAGTCTCTGTTGGACCTTGCACTGCGTTCAACAGCAGCTGCAGCAGATCCTTTGAATGAAGATGTCACATGTTTTGTGGTCAGTTTCATTTATTCCCATTACAACATAAATTCTACTTTAAGAAATAATTAATTAATATTTTATTAATTATTATGGGTTTTCAGGACATAGGTTCTTTGTTAAAGACACCGAGCATTCTGAAAGATCTTCAAACAAGTGGTGGTGGTGGTGGTGAGACAGTTTCAGAGGCTGATGTTGTAGAAGAGCCCTTGATCACTGGTATGGAAACCTTTTCTGTTAATTACAAGGTAATTATCATCATCAATATTCACACCTTTTTTAACATTTTCTTTTTTCTTTCATTAATTGCAAGAAATAGCAACCTACTTTCATTCGTTTGTTTATTGTAAATTTATAACATCTTACTATCATCTATACCTATTACAACATTCTACTTTGAAAAAATCCATTTAGTTATTTATAGCAATGTCATTCAAATACAAATCATTTTCAATATTACAATATTATAATTGGAATTTAGAGTTAATCTCATAAAAGACCTTATCTTTTGTGTTTTTTTTCCGGATTAGACCTCAAGTTTATTCTTTTTATGAAAAAGACCTCTGGCCCTTTTAGTCATTCTTCTCTAAAAAAGTTGTATAATGTGAGGTTTTTTTCAGGAAAAACTAAAAATGTCGAGGATTTATTTGGAAACATTTAGAAGGTTGAGGGTTTTTTTGGAAAAAAGACAAAGTTGAGGGGTTTTTCGCAAAAAATGAAAAAATATATCATGAAAAAAAATAAAGATGAGGTTTAATCCGGAAAAAACACAAAGTATAAGGTCTTTTATGAGATTAACCCATAAATGAAACTACTTTACTAATTATCTAATTTTCTATTTTTCTAATTATCAATTAAATGAAAGTAAGTTGTTATTTTTGTTGCAGGTTCAATGGCCATTATCTCTTGTGATATCAAAAAAAGCTCTGACAAAATATCAATTAATTTTTCGATTTCTGTTTCATTGCAAACATGTTCACAGGCAGCTTTGTGCAGCTTGGCAACTACATCAAGTATGAGACTTAATACCCCTAACATCAATAATTATTAAAAAATAAAAATATCTCCTTTTAATTTTACTCTTTATATTTTTTTGTAGTTATACTTTTTTTTTGTTGTTGTAGGGTGCACGTGTACGTGATATGCATGGAACTGCATCTCTACATCATCAATACTATGTAGGAATATGCTTAAATTTATAAATAGCCTTCTACATTATCTAACCTTTGAGGTAAAAGTAAAATCATGTTCTTAAGTATATAAATAACAATATACTTACATTTCCTTACCAATAATAACAATATATAACTATTATCAGTAAAAAGGCAAGTATGTTATGTAAAAAAGAAAGTATATATTTTGTAAGTTTCATACTATAAGTTTGTTGTTATTATGGGTAAAGAAATATAAATTTATATTGCTATTTCCTATTTATTTATTTATTAAACCGATGTTAATGTGGTTATTTATCTCTCTTTTGTCAACTAACAAAGGTAGAAGTGATATTATATTATTATATGATTGAATAACGTTTTCTTTTATCTTCTTTTTAGGTTCTTGAACCAAATTGGCATGTTATGCATAATAAACTTGAAAATGCAAAGAGCATAAATGAGGTATATGTTGATTTGTTTATTGTAGCATCCTACTTTCATTTATTTTTTGTATTACAACATTGTGCTTTGAAAAATCTATCCAATTGTGGCAATGTCATACAAATACAAAGCAATATTTACTTCTTTAGTTGGGTTGATTTTTCAATGTATAATGTTCTAATAAGAAAAAAAATGGTAATACAATGCTGTAAAAGAAAAATATAAAAGTAGATTGCTATATTTCACAAATAAATGAAAGTAAGGTGTTAATTTTTTCTTGTGTGTGCTTCTAATCTTTGTATGAAAATAGGTAATTCAATATCATGACTTTTTCATGGAGAAGTGTCTTAAGGAATGTTCACTTCTTTCTCCAATCCTCCTCAAGGTTTTCATCATTCCCTATTCATAATGCTCTGCTGCACATCAAAATTTCAAAATACAATATCAAAATAAATATAAATAGAATAGTATGAATGATTTTCAAACATTATTTCTGTATAAAGTGCTGTTTGGATAACTATTGTTTAAAAAATATTTGAGAAAATGATGACACACTTGGGGAAAAGAAAGGTAAAAGTAAATGAGGTCAAATTCATAAAAAGTTAGGTTAAAAAGAAAATTGATATGTAAGTATGTAAGTTACCACATGAAGGGGCTGTTTCTTTTTGACTTAATGAGGTAAGTACTCTCTCATGTTAGAAATTGATGAATATTCTGATTTTTTTCAGAATGTAAGGGTAAAATGGTCATTTAGTCAGACAGATATCACTATCTGTTCAGTCACTTTACCCATACATGACTTAATGGGGCCCTAAGTTATGTCTCCATTAAGGGAAAAAAGAAATATTCATATAATATACAAGGTTTGTGTTTGTGAATTTGTTCTAATAATAATAAGTTTTTGGGGGTGAATGCAGAAATTTGAGAAACTGAAACTTGTATGCCTTCAATATGCTTCTGCAACTCAGTGGCTAATGAGCTCCATTGAAGCTCCCGATTCAAACAGTTCCTTTGATGATTTGCATTCGTCTTCCTTGGAAAATGTAAAGGTTTTGAAGCTAAGAAAGTCTTCCAAAAAACCAAATTCACCCACAGACGAGTCTACAGTCATCGAATGTGTCCTGTAAGATCTTAAAACTATACCCCCATATTTCTTTCTATGTATGTGTATGTATGTATATACTGTATATGTATGTGTATGTGTATGTCTGATGGAGTGGAGTATTTTTTGGCAGGAAATTTGAGAGGGAGTTTAGTAGTGAGCTGGAGAGTTTAAGGCCAATATTGAGCAGCAGGGCACAAGCTGAACCGTATTTGACTCATCTTGCACAGTTGATTCTTGGTGTTGGTATGGATCACCAGATGTAGATTTTTTTTTTTTTTTTTGGTATTTTTTGTTCAAGTTTACAGTTTGCTTGTTGGTTGTTGATTGTATTGGTTTTTTGTATATATCTGTTTTGGAATGAGAGTGTTTTTGCTTGCATGATTAACCACTTGTGTAGATTTCTGATTTCATAGTAGTAAAACATGGATCATCTGGATTTGATTTAGCCAAACACAATTTGTTTCTTGTTATTAAAATGATATGGAGTTTTATGTGATGCTGTTTCGTTTTTATTGATTGAAAGTATATTTCATGCCTCTTGAAAACGGAATTGTAAAAACCGATATAACCGAATTATTATCTGGTTGGTTCATATTGGATTTGAATATAATTTGTATTATTTGGATTCACGCCTTGAAAACCGAAATCAATTGGATTCACTTGGTTGGATTGGATCAAACTGATCCATCTAAAGGAAGAATATGTGACTCTGGACAGTGTCAGCTCCTCTGCTTTATTCTGTGGTCCTCAAGTTCTTTAGATTAACAGGCCAAGAGCTTAAACTTTAGCTTTATGACCAATAGAACTACTAAAACTAAAACCTGCATTAACCAACTTGCAGAAACCTTTCAAAGTTAAGATTGCATGACAGGGTAAGTACAGCAAATTATATAGTACAAATCGGTTACAATGGAAGAGAGCCATCAGCAAATTAAGCACAGGTAAAAGTTGCAATATTGGCTGATCAATTGGGATTACAAGTCAGATGGTAGCTGTATGTTACAAGTGAGAAGAATTTTGTGATATTAAGTATAAAGTGTAAGTATCAGATTTATAAAATGTTTTGACTTTTACCCATCTTTTGTACTTGTCTCTATACTTGAACAAGACAAATGTTTGGGTACAATTTGGATCGCAAGGGAGGAGAAAGTTAGAAGAGTTTATTACTTTATTATTAAGCAAGAGCCAAGAGGAGGAATGATCTGACTGATACAACATATCTAATCTATATATACACCAACCAACACACTCAAATAACTAATTAATTAACACTTTTCATAATTTAGTGTGACATCAGTTGCTTCCCGTGGCGCTCCCCGTCTAACCGTTTCTTTATTTAGCCCCTTGCAGTCATCGAACCACAAATCTCGGATAGATGACATGTTGGTTAACCACATGGGCAGTTCTTGTATTCCGAATCCATCTATTTCTAACCAAGACAGTGAGGTGAGGTGTTGTATTTCTTCAGGTATCGACTCCCAATGATCCCAACCTTTCAAATTTAATGAGTGAAGGTGGTCCCTTAACTTCTCGATGCCTTGGAGACTTGGGAAAGAATTGAGCTCCTTTGAGAACGGACCAAGTACCAAATGGTTTAAGCAGGCAAAACAGTCAAACATTTTCTGAGGCAAGGAAGTCAGTTTGTCGCAATGGATAATTTGCAAAGTCTTCAAAGAATGACACTGGTTGGGTAAATTGGTTATTTCTAAAAGACTAGGACAATGGCCGATCATTAAACTTTTAAGAGATTTGAGGCCTTGTATGCTTTTAATGGACACCAGACCTGTGCAAAATCCAATCTCTAAATAAACAAGAGGATGGGGATGGCATTCATCTAAAATAATAATCTTTGGGCAATCTAAAATGGACAAGCTCTGGAGGACAGGAGATATCATTTTTGAGATGTTGGGTGCTCCATCTATCCACTTTTCCAGTCTTTTCATATCTAAAAGTGCGAGCGATCTCAACGATGGAGACAAAGGCTCCGTTGATCCAGTAACATCGGAACTCTTTAAAAATGTCAACTTGTCCATAAACCATAACTCAAGATCCTGAAGATGTGGTAGGTGCTCAAGCGTCGGAAGAGAGAGGCAGCTCCTACATCCATCTAATTTGATCGACACGAGCTTGTCAAGGGTCATCCATTTCCCTTCAATATTGATTGCCATCTTCATTACCCATTCTGCAAAATTATCACCTGAAAAATTCTTAATTGTCAACTTTTTCACATCTTTAGGGGGTTGCAAGCCTTCCAATACATCCTTGTCGTTTCGGTTGGCATCTTCATCATCGTTCCCACTCCAATTGAATTCAATATTGTACAAGTTTTTCTTTCTAGATAAATTTGCATTGACAGCATCCTCTTTGCTCCTAACATTTTCTAAACTGGAAATACAGAGGCTTCCAGTAAGGTTATTCAAATGGCGTAGCTCTTCAATACCATGTCCTTTCCTTCTAAGCACTTTGACGGAAGACAGTTTTCGAAGATAAATCAACTGTCCCAGGACATAGGTGGGAATATCTTTATCACACATGAAATACCGCAGGTTTATCAAATTTCTCATGGCTTTTGGAAACTTCTTGAGAACATTGCAGCCTTGCAACTTCAGAGTTTGCAAGTGGTATAATTTACCAATCGATTCAGGAAGAACACGGATCCTTGTATATGTCAAATCCAGATACCTGGGATGAACCAACCCTCCAATTGAATCGTCTATCTTCTCAATACTAAATCCTTTGAGTTTTAGGATGCGTATGCATTTCAATCGTTGAAATGAAAACTTCTTCTCAACTTCACCTTTGATGAACAATGTATGCAAAGTTCTAGCCACTGCATTCCTTTCAATGAACATAGAAACCTCCGCTGCCAATTTATACTTCTGTTCTTGGTAAAAAGCGAGATGTTTAACCTGAGGGATACATGCAATGTCATCATTTGTAGTATCCACCAGACATAAGCTTTCATTTTTCGAAAGTGATAATGAAAGATCATGCACCAGATCATGCATGCTACAATGACTGATGTTACCATACTCATCCCTTTCAACATCTTGGAACAACGAATTGCTGACCAAAATTTGAAAAATATCATTCCCCACATCCTCCATCTCCTTGTTTCTTTCCTCATCCCCTTGAACGAACCCTAAAGCCATCCAAAGTTGAACCAGTTCTTCCCTTTCCATGAGTGTATCTTTCTGAAAGAGGGAACAATATGTGAAGCATTGCTTGGCCATAGAATTGGGAAGATTATCAAAGGTCAGTTCCAAACTCTTTCGAACTCTCTCCCTTTCATCTTCTAGATCCCAAACTTTGCTATTTTTGATGGCCAACCACTTTTCTGGGTCATTGTAATTTTGCAACATACCACCTATTACCCTTACTAACAAAGGCAAACCATGACACTTTTTCACAATATCACGCCCTATCTCCTCCAATTCAGGTTGTGGTGATTGTCCTGCTAGAAAGGCCCTCTCTTTAAAGATGTTCCAACAATGATTATTAGAAAGACCTTTTAAAGGACATGAATCCATCAACATAGCCTTCGTTCCGATGTCAAGTTTCCTGGTAGTGACAAGAATGCTACTTCCAATTTGTGACTTCACATTTATCATAACACTCCTAAAATCTTCCAAATATAATCTCTCTTCATCCCAAACGTCATCCAGGACTAGCAAATACCTTTTTGAGCCCAACTTCTCTTCAAGACTTTCAATTAAATTGACCATAGTTTCCGACTTAGGTTTCTCTCGTGCAACAGATTCATAAATCTTTGCAAGAAGTGTGTTGATGTCAACCTTAACCGACACACACAACCAAGGTTTCACATCAAAATGTTGCTGGATTTTTGGATCATTGTATACGGACTTAGCCAGAGTGGTCTTCCCCATCCCGCCCATTCCCACAATCGGAACAATCGAAAGCTTTTCTTCTTTTCTTGACTCGGTTAAAAGGTGTATGATGCGCTCTTCATCATCCTCCCTCCCAAAAACTTTGAATTCGCCTAAATTTGGATCTGTCTCCGGGTAGGGACGATATTGAACAACTGGGCCAGGCTGTTCATTTTGTAGTCCCAACTCGTTTGCATCCTTATTGATTTAAGACAACTTTTCGTTAATGTTTTTGATTTTATGACCCATTTCTCTACGAAATTTAAGCTTTTTCAAGCATGAGAGAGAGGGTACCTTTATTGCCACCCGATTTCGATTCTTTACCTCACGCCTCAACATTTCATAGTGAACCTCATCCACCACGTCATCAGCTTCACCAACCACATCTTTTAGCTGTTTCAGCCACTCCATCACACCATGGTTTTGAACTTTCTGATTCTCGGCATCCTGTAACTTGGCACGAATCAGTTTCAAGGTCCCTTCAAGTGTGTACAACTTCTCTTTGTAACCCAAAGCAAGGGCGACTTCGTTGACAGCTATGGATGCTAACTTTTTCAGGATCGCCTCGGCAGCAACGGTAACTAAAGCGTCGGCCATGTTCACTGGTGTGTGTGTCTGAGAGAGAGAGAGAGAAGGCACGAGAATATTTATCTTGATATGGTGGAGCTATTTTCTAAAGGGATTCGATTGACCCATCTTCTGAAAATAAAGGGATATGGAGGACCCATTTTCTAAATAATTCGTATGATAGTGGATAAAAAAGATGATAAAGGAATCCCAATACTGGATCAGGTCACAACTCACAAGTCACACGGATCATATCACACAGGCTTTGAGATGCTTGAACACCACCCCAAAAAAAAAGTGGAGAGAAGAATATTATTATTATTATTATTATTATTATTATTATATTTTTTTAAATCTTATTTCTAGTGTCTGTGCCTTTTTGTTCTTCTAACAATATTTAGTGACCAATTATTATTTTCAATTTTGATAGTATGATCTCATTGGAAAGCTGAATTCTATTAACCATTATCTTCTTCTGGATCAGGTTAAATTTGCACTCAAATAATTGGATTGATGGTTTTTGTAGTTTAAAGTATTTGAATTGTAATTATATTTGATATTTGATTTGGTTGAGTTACAGGGTGATTTCTTGGTTCATTTTATGGATATTGCACCTGATGAACTTGATAAAACTCCAAATGAGATCTCTGTTGAGAAGCTTCAGGTCTTTACCCATTTACCTCATATTATCTTTACATGTCAAATTACAAAAAAACCAAAGTATATTTTGGGCAATTATTGTGATTACACCACTTGATACTTTTTTCTTTCCAATCAAACCATAATAGTTCAGACAATTTTCCAAATTAATCATTCTAATTCTCCAAATTTACCATTTTTGACCTTATTATATCAGGTCAAAACAGTTAAATTGGAAATATGTCTGAAACTTTAATGGTTTGATTGGAAAAAAATAAAATACAAGTGGTTAAACCGCAAAATTGCCCAAAATATAATATTGTTTCTGTAATTTGCCCTTATTTGTATCATCCATATGTATAGTTAGGGATAAAAGTTATCCACATATAAGAATTATCGTTTATCACTCTCTTCTTACTCATTAAGTTTTATATGAGAAAATAAAGGGGAAAATAAATGACATTTCACATTTGTAAACTGATGACTTATGGAAAAAAACTCAATTTCCTGATTTTCTCTTTATTAGGTTGTTCTTTCTGCAGCATAAAGAGTTTGATGTTATAAATATAATACACAAATAAGTGAAATTACACTGCTATTTTTTTATTTTGTAAAATTTACGTTTTCATTTACTTGAGTTTAATTTTCAGTCTCTGTTGGACCTTGCACTAGCATTCAACAGCAGCTGCAGCAGATTCTTTGCATGAAGATGTCACATGTTCTGTGGTCAGTTTCATTTATTCCCATTACAATATTCTACTTTTAGAAATAATTAATATTTTATTAATTATTATGCCTTTTTCAGGACACATGTTATTTGTTAAAGAGATTAAGCATTCTGAAAGATCTTCAAATAGGTGGTGAGACAGTTTCAGAGCCTGATGTTGTAGAAGAGCTATTAGACGTTTATATTATAGGGGTAAAGTGTAATTTGTATTAGTATATATTCTGTAATTGTGTGTTATTATAATCAGTATACAATTACCAAGTTTGATTTGGTATCACAGCCAAACCCTAATCGGCTGCCACAACTCAGCCGATCTCATCCTCTTCTTCGACTAACAATTGTCGTCAACCACACATGGCACCCATTGTTGCGTTTCTTGCAACCGATAAAACATCTCACAATTGACACAAGTTTGGTTTCACCCTATCTCCAACAAATTATGGGTATTGGAAGACGATGTTACAACCGTTCCTCATTATAAACAACTTGTTTGGCTATGTTGATGGCACATGTCCTCCGGCCACCATTCTCTCCGTTGCCACATCAAGAAAAGATGGTCCAATGTAATACCTCAAATTTTAAATCAAAATTTTCATTTTTAAATTACCAAAACTGTAACACCGTGTTCCGAATTGTTTCCTAATTTGGGGTCGTGACCGAGGATCGGATATCACAAGGCTTAGAGCCTTTGGGAAAGAGAGATTTAGACCCATTTGGGTGTGGGTAATGTAAGTTAGATGATTCGGGAGTCCGTTTTTGTGATTTGGAGCCCAAGAGTGTAACCGTAAATTGGCAGTTTTGACATTTTAGGAATTTTGGATTTTAGTTTGGGAAGTTTTAAGGCAAGGGATAGAAGTGTAGTGTTTCTCGTTATCTTTCCGTGGATATAAGGATCGTCGAAGTCGGACTTAGAACGAAGAAGATATGGAAGTTTGAAGGCTTAAGGACTAAGTCTAGTACGTTGGGCGTACTAGGCAGGGAAGTCGCGGGTGCTCTTTGGAGTACGTTGGGCGTACCAAAATTACGCATGTCATACTCCAGTTAGACCCAAACCCTAATTTAGGGTCATTGACCCTATTTAAGCTCCTTAACTCAGCACCAAATCTTGTTATCTTCAGTCTCCATCTCTTTAAACCCTAGAAACAAAACTCTAGTCCCCTTTGGTGTGGTTCTTGAGCTTTTGGTGGTATTTCATGCATTTTGGTGCTCATTGAAGAATAATGAGCTTCTTGGAGAAGTGTGGGATTGCTTGAAGGTTTTGGATCCAAGCTTGGTGCACCTAGATCTACCTTCTGGAGGTATAAAGTTTCTAACTTGATGGCTCTAGGAGTTAGAACTAGTCTAAGGAATGTTTTTGGGTTCATTTTGCTCCTTAGAGTCATCCTTGTGAGTATGAGCTACTCTAAGAGCTTAGAATGTTGGATCTTGGCATTTGAGAGATCCCTTGTTCATAAAAATGTCATCTTGATGAGTTATTTTGGACCATCCATGAGTTTGGGTGTTTATTATGGATTTTATTGAGGATTTGATCCCATTAAGCCATGCAAAGGAGTAAAGTTGCCAACTTTATGTGTTAAGACATCTCCTTAGGGTCATATCTAAGTCTGGAAGTCCTTTTCTTAACTATTAAGAGCTTTTGGGGGATTTTTGGCTCTCTATTGAGTACGTTGGGCGTACATAGGAGTACGCTCAGCGTAATGTGTGGTTTATGCATTAGCAACTTGTACCTTGTGCTTCGGGGGTGTGTACGCGGGGCGTACCCTTCTGGTAAGCGGAGCATAATTCCCAATATGTCAAGTATAGCCCTTTTAAGGTTTAGGCCTTGTTGGGTCATCCGACTTCTAACTTTGGGACGTGGATAGACTAAAGGCTTGCTTGGAAATAGGTTCATGATGGTTTTGGGGCCCAATTAGGAAGATGGGCCATATTGGGCCTTGGGATACGATTTATTAATTAGGCTTTTTGAGCAAATGGGTTGGGCCTTGGTTTGGTACAAGTAACAAAAGGGTAAAATGGTCTTTTACCCTTTAGGAAGTGAGATTTGGAGTGGGCCTTGGATTTTGGGTTATCGGGTTAATTATTAATTAAGGTTGTATTTTTGTTAGTTGGTGCGAGGTTATCCGGTTCAGCGACCCGAGCAGTTATATGGTTATTAGTGGATTGAGGTGAGTTTCCTCACTGTGTTTAGCAGGTCGAAGGCACCAACGTCGGCCCATGGTTTGTATGTTTTGTATGCTAGTTGTCTGCATGACTCTTACATGTGATATGTGTTTATATTTTACCGGGCAGAGCCCGATGCCGGGTGGGGCCCGATGATTATCCTGTATGCTATATATCTTTGTGATTATTGCATGTGTTTGTATTATTATGTGTTTGTTTGTTATATATCGAGCGGGGCTCGATGTCGGGTGGGTCTCGATGACTGACAGATATGTATACCGAGCGAGGCTCGATGTCGGCGGGACCCACTATACGTTTTATATGTATGGTATGTGGTATTTTGGAGAAATCACTAAGCTTTGTGCTTACGGTTTTTATGGTTATGGTTTCAGGTACTTCCGGTTCGAAAGGGAAGGGCCCGGCGTGATCGCAACGCATCCACCTATGCTTCTGCATTGTGATGGTTTTGGGATTGTACTCTAATGACTGTTTTATTATGAAATACTTTTGGATGTTTGAATAAACGATAATTAGTGCTTTGACTGAATTAAAAATGAAATTTTTACCTCATAATTTTTGGGACGTTACAAGTTGGTATCAGAGCCTTGGTTTGAGGGATTCATGTACACTCTCGGGTATGTCTGGACTCAAACTGAGGAATTGGTAATCTTTTGAAACAAAATGAGTTTCTAAAAAGATTTTGTAAAGGGAATAATTTTTTAAAATGATTTTATAAAGACAAAAGGGGTGTGATGCGTGCAATCGGCCGAGCTCAAGTGATTCCCAGAATACCCATATATGTTGATATGTTATATGATATGAATGATTGCATGCTAGGGTAAGGCTAAGGATACTTTCAGGAATTGCATGATAGATTGGCCTGATATGTGATGCCTTGTAGCCTAGGAAGCGTTGGATGCTAGATTGGGAATATGTAATGGTATCAGTAATTGCTAAGTTATGCTTTAAAAGAATTGTATACGATTAGGATCATATAGCCCTAGAATGAATGATTTGGCCTTATTTCATGTTCCTTGTTTGGTTGTGGTCCTAGGGAAGAGTCTTTTATTCGACAGTCTATTTGATCTTGTATTGTGTATAACTTGCATGCATAAGGTAACCGTTAGTAAGAGTGGAAGTTCCTAGCATGAGTTGTGGTATGTGAGCTTGGATGTTCTTTGGTTATTCTATGGCCTGGAGTGTTACTGCTCGGATGTTGCTTTCTTTGTGCTTTGTGTATTAGTAATATGAGTTAACCATTGAGTGAATATGTCAAGTCACATGTTGCAAAGGTTAAATAATCTTAGAGTGATGGATTTGACTCTATTTTGCAACTCTTTGTTTGAGTCTAACCATTATAGGGTTGAATCTGTTACTCGAAGGATTATCCAAGCTCTATGGCATGTGATTATATTCATGAGGTAGTTAACTGGTGTTAGTGGGAGTTCTTCAGCAGCTGATGGCAGGGTGAGGTCGGAAACCTAGGAAAGCCTAGGAAGTGCTTCAGTTGGTTTAGTTGTGTTGTTTAGTGAGTACATAGAGTACCAGTTTGATAAGGTGACCTGGAGGATTCGGGATGATTCTTGAGGAAAGTATGGATAAGTGTAGAAGGTAGTATTAGGCCCGTACTACTGGAAGCACATGATCCATACTCGAATTAAGGAGAGTCTTGTAGAATCTAGGAAGCCCATGGGATGAGGATTCATGGTTATGTTCCGACCATTTTATGATTGCTTTTCAGAATGGTAATGAGCACTCATGGAAGAGGTTCAGGTTCTGGTTCCGGATCAGGTGCAAGTATTGAGCCGATCGATGAGCAAATGCGGGAGTTCATCTCATCGGAGATTACCCGCGACATTTTGGAGCAGACTCCTGTAATCTTTGGTACGGTCAAGGAGGGGATTTTGGAGATTTTTTATGAGCATCCGGGTGCGTTCCGTACTGAGATTATGGCTATTGTAGGAGCTCGCACTCTTTCTTCTCACGAGTTTCATGTTTGTGTAGCTCCCCTGTTCTTTAGGGAGAAGGACCCCATTGCCAGTAGGAGATGGTTAGCGAATATGGTTAATGCTTTCTGGACGAGTTTCTGCCTCGAGGGGTCGAAGGTCAGATTTGCCTCTTGTCTTCTGAAGGACAGAGCCTGAGATTGGTGGGAGGATGTAGACTTCGCTTTTGGAGGCGAAGCCCTAGAGACGATGACTTGGGATGAGTTTATGACCCTCTTTAGGGTTGAGTTTGCACCAGCTATTGAGGTGCAGCAGTTGGCAAGGGAGTTTCATGACCTTCATAAGACGACTGAGATTGTGGCAGGGATCACTGACAAGTTCCCGGAGAGAGCTTTATTGGTTCCGCAGTATGCAGCGAACGAGGAGATAAAGAAGGTAAGGTATCATGACATGCTGAGGGATGACGTCAGGGAGTTTGTAAATTTGTCAAAGTGCGAGACCCTAAATGGTATGATTGTTAGAGCCCGAGAGCGAGAGATCAATTTGGAGCACCTCAGGAAGAGGAAGTCAGAGCAGACTCAGATTGCAGTGGGCCAGGCGAATAGGCCGAAGACTCAGGATTCACGTCTGGGAGGCCATCCGGGTCGGGGCCGTAATGCCAAGTGTGGGAGGACCCATGAGGGAGCATGTCGGAAGACTGGCTTGTGGTTAGATGGGTCATTTTAGTAGGGATTGCCCCCGTGGGTCGGTTCCGATGCATTTTCACTGCAACTAGGTGGGCCACAAGACAGTAGATTGTCCGATGTTGAGGGGTGGAGCAACGAGTGCACCTGCTCCAGTTACTTTGAGGATCACGGACGGTCATGAGGGTAGGACAAGAGCCCTAGTGGCGAGGAACCGAGCATCGTAGTGTCAGTCAGGGGAGGCCATAGTTTCATCAGATGTTGTCGGGGTATGTTATCTTTTGTATTTCTTCCATGCCTTATTATCAGTATTTATATTTGCGTTGGAATCTTGTGTCGGTATGTGTAAGCATAATCTTGGGTTTAGTTCTCTGTAATTGCCTGGGCTATATCATCGAGAATTGTTATATGCCATTTTTTCATGCCAATGGGTCGCATC